AATCTTCCAGTGTTACCTATGACCTCTTGTTCCTGGTAGTTGAGTCCAGATCTTGGCTGACTCATTTTATCCAGAGAATGAACTAGCAGTGAGAAAGGAGGGAATGGGAGTGGGGTGGCATTCTAACTGCCGCTGCACCACACTTTACACCATTTTTTGGAGGGGCATAATCTTGCTCGGTCACCCCGGCTAGAGTGCAGTGGCGTCATCACAGCTCACAGCAATCTCAAACTCCTGGGCTCAAGCAATCCTACTGCCTCAGCCTCCCGATGACTACAGGCACATGGCACGCCACCGGCTAATTTTTCTATTTTTGGTACAGATGGGGTCTTGCTCTTGCTCAGGCTGGTCTTGAACTCCTACCCTAAAATGATCCTCCTATCTTAGCCCCCCAGAGTGCTAGGACTGCAGGCGTGAGCCACTGCGCCTGGCCACTCATCTTTCAACCTTGTCCCTCATCCCCACCTTTCAAAGAACATGGTGCCTCCACTGCTCCGCCTCTTCAGAATCGCCTTGCTCCTCTGGATCACACAGCAGACTTCCAGGGTGGTTGCCTCCACTCAGCTGTCACTCACTCCTTTACATCTTTCAAACATTTGTTGACACTTCTCATCTGTAATTTTCTCCTTTTTTCATTATTGCTTTACTGCCATGTTAGGGCTTTAGGAAGAGTTATACAATATGTAACTCAAAGGTCACTGGAGTTCATTATATTTTTGGAATAGTTCCTTCAGGATTCCATTTCCATAGAAAGTCGGTTAGAAAATAGAAATTCTGCACTTTCCAGCTGCACCCAATTCTTTTGACAAAGAGTAAACATGAGGTAAAGGCTTTTTTTGTTGTTAATTTAAAATGTTACCTATTGAATAACATTTTGTGACATCCAAATGAATCATGAATCCCTAGTTTCTGCTAATGAGGAAATGTATATGATTATTTCTGTTTTTTTCAGATTTGTCCAGGAGCATCTATTATAGCCTCAGATGTTTTGCTTCTAAACTGCTCGAGTCTTTGCGGTTCTTTGTGAATAATTTTGGCATCACATCTGAAGAATAACAGGTAACACTTACATGATGTGCCAGGCATTCTTTTGTGCACTTCAAATCCACACATACATACATATCCATTTGATACATACACCAACCATGAAGTAGATATAATTATTGTCTGATTTTACAGATGAACAAACTGAGGCACAGAAGTATTTGCCCGCGTTCACACACCTGGTAGGCAGCGCCAGAGTCCTTGCTCTTAACCCCTACGTCTTACTATATTGCAGCAGCTTTTTTAAAGTTAAATATTTAAAAATTTCACAAGCAGACCACTTCTAAAGGAAACTTTAAATATTCAAACACCTAGAACAAGGGAGTTTGAAACACAGATACCTGTGCACGCACACGCAGAGCCAAGTGAAAGGAGCAGAGAACCACGTGAAGCAAAAGTGTGAGATGGACGGGTTTTTCCATTAGGGCACGGAATTTGGCTTTGAGTTTCCTGCCAACTAATAAAAACTGGGGGCAATTGAATTCTAGAAGCAATTTCTAGAATTCTATTAAAATAAAAAAGCCCTATGTTAGGGTTTTGTTTTGAATTTCAGGAAATTATGAGAGTACAAGCACTTTGGTTACATTTTGTATCTTTGCCTCTCCCTAGCAAGGGTTAGCAGTGCCCCTCCCTTCCACAACACTGTCCTTCAGTTGTGAGTCTACGCCCCCAACGTCCTATGTTAGGGCTTTTTTGTTTTTGTTTTTTTGAGACAGAGTCTCACTTTGTTGCCCAGGCTAGAGTGAGTGCCGTGGCGTCAGCCTGGCTTACAGCAACCTCAATCCTCTGGGCTCAAGCGATCCTCCTGCCTCAGCCTCCTGAGTAGCTGGGACTACAGGCATGCACCACCATGCCCGGCTGATTTTTTTGTATATATATTTTTAGTTGGTCAATTAATTTCTATTTTTAGAGACGTGGTCTCACTCAGGCTGTTTCGAACTCCGGACCTCAAGCAATCCACCCGTCTTGGCCTCCCAGAGTGCTAGGATTATAGGCGTGAGCCACCGCGCCCAGCCCTATGTTAGGGTTTTAAAAAAAAACTTGTGAAATACTCACAAAAATACAATCTAACTGCCTCCACAGAGTTTGTTGGTATAGCCCCTTTCCAGTCCTACCTAAAGTGCTCTTTTGTAAGTCGGAAATTGGAACAACTATTTTGGAAAACTGGTAGGCATTATCTACAAAAGTCGGACATATGCTCACGCTGTGACCCAGTGATTCCTTACACAGCTGAAATAATGTATACACTTGAACCAGGGGACATATGCTAGAATGTTCGTAACAGCATGATTCACAATAGCCAGCTAAAAATAACTCAAATGCCAGCAACAGGTGAATGGGAAAATTGTGTGAAATTTGCCACAAAAGATTGCTGCTATGACTTTTGTGGATTTTTCCAGTCTTGAGCTAAAAGTGATGCAGATTACTATTTCATTGGGCAGAATGAGTTATATGGTTCTGACAGCGGTCGTGCTAGCAGACGGTGGGGTGGGGTGGGGGCTGATGGAATGTCTGGTTAGCCTGACGGGATAGAGGATAACGGGGAAACTAGTTGAGGGAGGGGAGGAAGTCCTCCATGAGGGACACCTCAGTGAAAACCTGAAGGATGATGTATTAGTTTGCTAAGGCTGGTGGAACTAAATACAGCAGAGTGAGTGGCTTAAACAACAAAAATGTACTGTCTCGTAGCTCTGGAAGGTGAAGTCCAAGATCAAATTGTCAGCAGGATTGGTTCCTTCTAGGGTTGCAGGGGAAGGATCTGTTCCCGGCTCCTCTCCTTGGTTTGTAGATGGCCTTGCTGCTTTTGTCTCTTCGCACCCGTCTTCCCTGTATACATGTCTGTGTCCAAATTTCCCTTTTTACAAAGACACCAGTCACAGCCTACCAGAATGACCCCAACTTTACTTTGCCTCTGTAAAGACTCTGTCTCCAAATCAGGACACATTCTGACTACTAGGATGAGTCACATTAGGATTTTAACATGAATTTTGGGAAACACAAAGTTGGTTATACTCAAAAAAAGGAGAGAGGTGAATAATTCTAGGAAGGGGACAGTTTGCATGAAGGTCCTAGGGTAAGGAAAACATTATAAATGGGACTAGAGCTTGATAGCAGGGGCCAAATCACATCGCACTTGCAGTCCATAGGAAGATTGGGGGTTTGATTCTAAGTGCAGTCGTGATTGGAGGGTTGTATGCAGGGAAGAGACATGATCTCACCATGGTGTGGGCAGAGGTGAGTTGGAGGCAGACGAGCAGCAGTGGGAAGACCAGGTAGGCGGCCAGTGGACAAAGGGGTTTGGAGCAGAGGGTGTGGGGGATGGGGATGGAGAAGGAAGTAGATGTGCGCCAGATGTCACTTAGAGTTACATGTGACTGTGGTGGAGAATTGGATCTGGAAGGTGGAATTGAGAAAGGCATCGAGGATAACATTCAAAACATAGATTTCGAATTACAGAACTGGAAGAATTGCAAATATGGGTAAAACTGGGGAGGTCAGGTTTCGATGGTGCTAGGGAACCATTATGAAATGTTGCGTTTCAGATTATGTGTGAGCATCCAAAGGAAGAGCTCACTGGGCAGCTGCATACTATCAGAGAGTGTGCATCTCTACAAGGGTCAACAGAGTTCTGTATAACCTCCATTGGAGAAAGTTCTCATGTGTTAATACAGCAGTCCCCAACCTTTTGGCACCAGGGACTGGTTTCACGGCAGTTTCCCAAGGACAGTGGCAGAGGTCAGGGAGTGATGTGCAGCCCATTTACTAACAGGCCTCGGACCGTACCAGGCCACACCCCGGGAGTCGAGGACACTGCAGTCTGAATACCTAATCCAGGGCCAGCGTGGTGGCTCACGCCTGTAATCCTAGCACTCTGGGAGGCCGAGGTGGGCGGATCGCTCAAGGTCAGGAGTTCGAAATCAGCCTGACCAAGAGCGAGACCCCGTCTCTACTAAAAATAGAAGGAAATTAATTGGCCAACTAAAAATATTTAGAAAAAATTAGCTGGGCATGGTGGCACATGCCTGTAGTCCCAGCTACTCGGGAGGCTGAGGCAGTAGGATCACTTGAGCCCAGGAGTTTGAGGTTGCTGTGAGCTGGGCTAATGCCATGGCACTCTAGCCCAGGCAACAAGTGAGACTTTGTCTCAAAAAAAAAAAAAAAAACCAAAGCAAACAAAAAAACCAAACCAAAACAAAACAAAACAAAAAAAACCTAATCCAGGTACTAGAATTAACTTTCAAAGCCCACTCTGTTCAACCCCTCATTTTATAAATGACTATAACCATCCAGGCACATATTACCTTGGTGCGTGGTACAAGCTGTTTAAGGGGCTTGGCTAATGTTTTTAAAAAGGAAGTTGGTCATGTAGTGACTAGATAGCCTTAATAATGATTTTTAAAAATAAGCCAAGAAAAACTTCATTAACTAAGGGGACAAAAAATGGCTAGAGCTACCCAGGGTAGAGATGGGAACTGGAGCCCTTACTGTTCTTCCTTTACTATTCCAAAGTACCTATGCAGTAACTGGAACCCAAGTCTCTTAAAGGAGCCCTCCCCTTAGACATGTGCCTCTTGTATGATAAGGGGACCATGTCAAGTTAACTTCAGGAAAGGGTGTCAGCTGGGCTTTATTTAAGCTAATTCAATGTTAAGGCATAAAGCCAACAATCTCCCCCAATTTAGATGATCACAAATGACTACTAAAATGAAAGCATTTAAAGACATTCCAATTTTAGAAGTCAACACTTCCAAACTATGGATATTTATACAAACAGCACGAACAAGTCCACTACTAGAACAAGTAAAGATGCCATCAAAATACTTCACAACAAATAGTGCTCAGGCAGACGCAGAAGTACAAGGTAGATAGTGTCTGGATCCTATACTCCAGATTATCAAGTTATAACGAATGCACAACTTGCTGTGCTCCTTCTATTTGAAACAAGCAAAATCAAGTTAATTCAAATAAATATCCTTTATTAAAGAAAAAAAGAATATTGTTAAGCACCAAAACTGTATATTGTTACATTGCATGTACAATAAGAGAAAGGTGATTGCAATACTTGGTGTACAAGTACTTAACTCTGAAGTCATGAGTGTAAAAAACACGAAATACAAAGCAATACAATAATTACAATGCAGAAAAGTTGCACTAAAGAGCAAAAGGCAACAGTCAAAACAATTATTGGAGATTTCATAGTATTGCTATAAATGCTTGCTTAGTTTTTTCTTTGTACTTTTAATACTTTAGAATGTTAATTGAGCATATTGAAGTATTGTAAATTTGCAAGAGTTGGCATTTACAATACACTGTGCACACACTGTCCATCTAATGTAATGGTGTTAAAGCCATCCTTACAAGCCAAGCACAATGTGCTAGTGTTTTGCTTCTACCTTTATAATATTGCACAAAGCTAGTAAAATGGTGAGTCAGTTTGCCATTAAAATTTTCATTTTACCAGAAAGGCTAAAAAACGTGTCAGTCTCCTTAGCCCTAAAGGGCATTATTCATGCGAAATGATCGGTAGCCTTCCATTTTCCATAAACTACATAATATGGTTTCACACTTGGCCAGACATAAGCTATAGAGAAATTCAAAGACAGTGGAGGTTCTGTTAAAGTTGAAGTCAGAAGTCACTGCATATGGGCTGCATCATCTGCCCCTCTTGGTTCACAAATGAAGGCAAATGCCATCTTGTGATTATGGAGACTTCTTAAAACCAACATAATTAGTATTTGGGAAAAAGTGGAATAACTTGTTACACCCTTTGATAGTTAACAATAGAACATGCAAGTGAAAACAAAAAAAGCCCAAAATTTCCCTTGTTAAAACTGAACTCTACAACGAACATCCAAACTCTTGTTTTCATCTAATCATCATTTTTCAAGGTCTTCTGGACACAGTAACAACTCCCCACATTGAGCCACTCTTAGTAGTACCTGAATTAAAAGAAAAAAAAGCTTTCCCCTAACCCTTAAAACAAATGACTGCTTTGAGATTTAGTGTGAAGTAACATTCACAATATATTTAACAAGTCAAACTCAGAGGTATTTTCTGTACATGCCCTTTAAGGTGGCATAATAAATGTGTGTGTAGAAGGGGGAAACATTATAAATATGGAATTCAATCAATTAAATTCTACAAATGTCAAGTTGTAGATTACTGTGGGCAAAACAGAATTTTAGAATAAACAGATCTTCAAAATAGCTCAATGGGCAAACATTTAATACATACACACACACACTGGATCTATAGACTCCCTCCCACCTTTAAAAAACCTGTTTACATACATAACATGATAGTTTAGGCAGCAATATAAACTCATTTTGTAGGAAAAACTTTTAAATTACACTATATTTATAGGATAAAAAATACCATTGCTTCATTTTACAAAGCAATAAAAGCAGAGAATCTTCTTAATGTGCTTCAACTAAAGCATACTTTGCAGCAAAGTTCTGAAATAACTACTGAGTTGTTCAGTAGCATTAAATAAATGCAACATGCTCCAACAGTAAGGTGCTTTCATCATCTTACCCCTCTTCCATCTGAAATAAATCTTGCTGGTCAATCCTCTAACACTAAGCATAGTTCTTTTTCTATGCTACGCAATAAATGGGCAATAAAATCTGTTTAAAATGTAAATGCACATTTAATTTTATATTATAATTTATATTCAGTGCAAAAATTAGGCAAAACATTGAAGGTTTTTGCTTTCATTACCAAATGGTTGCATCTTAAACATATCTGCAATAATTATGAAATGTTTTACAGCTGTCCTTTTATTTTTTATTTTTTTACAAGTAACCTGGTAAAGTATGAAATTTCAACTCCCTGATAGGGCCTTTAAGGACCCAATAATATTTTACACGTTGGTATCTGATGTTAAGTTCATAATACTTCAATAATAAAGCTTAAAAAAAAACAAAACTATTGTATTTAGGGAAAGAAAAGGCTTTCCTTAGACTGAAAGCATTAGCTTAAGTTTATACGAACACACTCAGTGAATTTAATTTAAAAATGGAGTGTTAGGGAATGTATAAAATTAAATTGTGTAATTGTACACTGGTCCCATTCCAAATAGGATGCTGCCCATTAGTTTTTGTTCCACTGATTCAAGAGTTTTATTTCTTAGTGTCTATGTCCATTAAGTATGATTTACAGTTTTACACATTTTACAACATAAAGTAGCCACGCCATGTGCTAGCAAATATTGCTACATAGTTCAACTTTGTAGAAACAAGGATTTCCCCCACCCACCCCCACTATATAGGGTGAAAGTGCTGAAAAGTTCCTGTTTCTATGTTATGAAAAAAGCTCCACATTCCCTTGATTCCCACTATTATAGCTGGAGTTTCATTAAAAATGCATCTTATAGAAATATTTTAGTTCCCCAATGAAGAACTAAGGAATGATTGTTTTGATGCTACGAACAAACTAAGTAAGCCTATTAAACGTAAGCAAAACAATTGTTAATCTTTTAAAAATACTCATTACCCAGGCTTTTCTTCATACTGCTACACTACAGACATCTAGGATGTTAATCATTAAGAATACCTTTTCTATGTGGGCCACATTGGTTATATACATCTAATTTTGGTTGCATTAGTAAGAGAAACATTTGAATTTAACATTCAAGTGTGCAGTAAAGTTAATCTCAAAATATCCCAAACTTGTCACCTACTTATTTCCCCTATTTTCAATATATTGCAGTTGAGACTAGATTGGTAAATTAACTTCTAAATTGATTCAGCATGACCAAGCAGCTATTTGTGGATGAAGAAATGATATATTAACAGAAATGTAACTGTCAAGTATTTTGAATCATAAAGAAAGTACAGGCCTGAGTTCCACAGGCAAGTTTTGGAAATGGAAATGTGGGCATCTGTAAGTACCATGATAACTAAACATATACAAATTTAATATTAAGGCCAAAGATACTCATTTTACTGGGGAAAAGGAAAAAGGGAAATTTAACCATGCATACATAATTAAAGTGGAGGTTCCAACGGTTATTTTGATGAACAAGTAGACCTTAATTATTTGAAATTTTAATATCTGAATAACTCTAATGGTTTGTGACCTACAGTCTTCTGTAATTTTGCGTAAGTAGGAAATGGGACCTTGACGAAGGGAAATGGGTGTGTTGAGAACCAGAGAACGAGCACAGCTGGCTGCCAGCCACCAAGACTCTGCTTTTTAACCTCATCTTCAGGAGTGTGAGGTAACCCTCGAGGAATGCTGTAATGGGATGGGCCGAGAGAGTTGTGCATGCATCACTACAAGGGTTAACAGTTCTGTATCTCCTCCATTGTTTGCTAGAGACTTATTACAACATGGCTCAGGAAGACACACTACAAGACCCGTGTATAAGTAAGCCTATTTTATAATGGAATCCCAGCTGTAACACTAAATGGGTGGCAATTCCTTCTCAACATATAAAGGTTCCAGTGTTTTTTGTTAATTTAACACTATATCCTGTATTTTTCTAAATTTGAATAAATGAAAATAACTTGCTAGGAATAAACATCCCAAAAACTGGATATATGAAATGGCGACACATGGTCACATAAAAATTGGACAGCATAAAACTGACACATGATTTTTTTTTTAAAGGTTTGCAAATCTGCTTAAACATTTTTCAGCTATATTAACAATCTAACCAATCACTCTTTGGGTTAAAGAAGCATGCTTTAATACATTAATATAGGACACCGCCAACACCATCCCTACCCTGTCTTGGGATGAAGTTTCTATGTTAGATCTGTATTTCTGATCTTTCCAAACAAGATGTTGGAATAGTGCTGGGACTAAAACAAATATATTATGAAAATACTACACAGAAGCTCCCAGTCTCATCAATAAACATACTACCAACATTTAAACAAAAAATTTTTCTCTCCTATAACCTGTTGGCAGAAGATTTTCTCCATAATTATTTTAAAGAAAATAACATTTTAAAATGGCAAGGCTGTGAGCACTTCCTTAATTCATATACATTGGAGGGCTTTTGCTGCAGTACTATTTTCTGGGTGTAGGCCAGAGAACTGCCTTATAAGAAAGTTCTTTTTGGTATTTCAGTTCTTAACTCCCTCCATATGAAGGGCAAGATCTTTCTTATGCGGAATTACTCTCTACAGAGTATATAAACTGGGTCCAACATATCTACCTTCATTCAAGCTCACAACAGTCCCTGCTGAAAATCCTTAATGGCCCCATTCATATAAATGTATCCTTTAAGGACTCAATTATAGCAAATATATCAGCACCTAGAGCTACATGTATAAGTTTAAAATATTAGTGACAATAACAAAGGCTCTCTCCAAAATTCTCAAAGCATTTCAAGCAAAGGTGACTTTTCTGCTTATCTACTCTATCGAGCACATGCTTTTCACTGTGGAGCATAAAATAAAAAATTAAAATGGTGGTTGACAAAAAGGGTTAAGATATGCATCCCTATTATTGAATCTTGATTTGATTCCCAATAGGAAAGTCATGTGAGTCCTAGTAACTGAGCAATAGATCAAACAAAAAGACTAAAAATAATTAGAAATATCAAATTACAAAGTATTGCTTCTCATAAATGAGGATGCACATAAAACTCAAACTATTATAAATTCAGAATTATTAAAAGCAATTTAAAAGCATGGAAATTTTTACTTCAAAACTTTACAAAGTGTGAGACTGTGGTCTTCTAAAAATATGCCATATTAAATGTATCATGTTGTGAACACATTAATAGATGTATCTCCATTGTTGTGTGGCTTTTCAGATGTTCATCATCTTTATGAAAATTCCTTTGGAGATATGTGGAGATTTTAAGTGCATTTCCATCTGATTTTAATTCCTGATATATAGCTATCATGATAAACTTTTTCAGAGTGTCACACTATTTATATAGCTGATATGGAAGAAGCTCTGTATTTTTACATGACTTTCCACGCAGTGAAAGATGGCTCTCAAAGCAGTCCCAACACAGCTCACAGTAAATCTGTCAACCCAATGTTCTTCCTAGCTTAACTGGCCACTAGAAGGATGTAAACAGAGAGACGGGAGGAGAAGGTGCATAAAAAAACCCCCAGAAATCTCCAGAAGGCCTTTCTTCCACTGCAATCAGGAACATTGCACATCTAAAACTCATGTTAACCACCACCTAATGGAATGACTGGAAAGTGACAACTTAACAATTGTGCCTTTTTCACACCACTGAGCCAATATACTTTGGATCTCATGTAATCCAACTGTGGAAACAGGTGCTTAAGCTGTTGTGTTCCAAAGAATCAGAATCAATCTTCAACTCTAGGTATTTTTCTTCTGTTGCCTGTTTACAAAGAGAATAAAAACAGTACATTTAAATAAATAAATGACCTTTTAAAGATACTATGTATATATGTTCCCTCATACCCTTTGCAATATCCTGCATGAATACTGATGTTCTTTTCTTATAAATAGACATTTATACAATATGCTGTATAGGAGATTCATTCTTTTTTAAAGGATAAGTTTATATTCCTAAAGCAATAAAAATGAAAAATGATTTGAATAAAGATTTTGATCAGTTAAAAGGCTGTTAGAGTAAAAGGAACAAAATGAAAATGAATCTAATACTTTATGTCAAAACTGTGTACTAGAAAGGTAAATTGAAATCTAAAATATTTGCCCCCATAAACTGACAGTGAAGTAAAAACTAGTGGTCTCTTTAAAATTCAACAGAGAATTTTTTTGTTATATATTGACATTTAGAGAACAGGATTAATACTGATCTTTAAGTAGATATTTTACTAGGACTTTTTATTCAAAAGTGTTGTGCTTGAGGTCTATGGCCTTACCCATGGCACAGGAGCATATATATCAAAGACATACTTATCAGATAAAGGCTGACAGACATGTGAATAAAAGTATCAACTTATTTTATTATAGTTCTACATTTTCTAATACTGTGGCTACCTACATGTAATGAGTACTTGAAATGTGGCTACTGTGACTAAGAAACTGAATGTTTTAGTTTGATTGAAATTAAAAATCTGGAACAATATAAAATATTTTTCAGTTACATACACTTTTACTGTTTTGGTAGCACACTTCTCTTTAACCATTGAATCCTTAGCATTTGAACTGAGATGTGCTACTACTAAGTATAAAATACACTCTGGATTTTGAAGACTTAGTACCTGAAAAAAGAAACCTGTCAAATTTTTTCATGTTGATTACATGTTGAAAGGTACACGTTTGGCTACACTGTGTCAATTAAAGTATTACTAAAATAAATTTTATGTGTTCCTTTTTGCTTTTAATGTGACTATTAAAGTGTTTTATACTGGATGTGCGGCTCACATTATATTCTATTGAACCACAATGATGCTATAGTTAGTAAGTTTATTAAGAAGGACCCCACAGGAAACAAGTTAGAAAGTTTCAATGTATATAATCACACACCATTTCATGTTTAGAAATCTTGAAGGACACTATTAACTATAGGTATCTCTCTGAGTTTCAGAAAAGAATTAAGGCACAAACAGGGGACCTCCACTTTTTATTTAAGTTTGAGAAATTAGCTCTTAAAAAAAATTTTGTAGTTGCACTAATGATTTAAAATCTACAAGAAAGAAACCCTCTGATACAACCTTTCCTAGGAAAAATAAAAAGATAAAATATTAATAAAAATTAGAAAAAAAAATAAAAAGAAACCCACTAAATTACCAGCTAATACAAGTTACAGTACAAATTTTTTGGTCATTTACAGAGAGGTTTCCTGAAAGTTTCAGAGTCTTTGAAAATTATTCTCCAAAATCACAAAGCCATGATATGCAGCTCCTTTCTCACCGCCTGATCAGTGGCACTAGTCTATGGTTTGCTTCTGGTGTAGGATTCATCCAGTCCTTTAAGGTTGACTTTGCAGATGACCTGAGCTCATACATCCATTATCTGGGAGTGTTTTGTCATTTCTCTCTCAACATTGTGCCACATACAACAGCCATCAACAATCAGTCCGCTACATCCAAAAAAAAGTTTTAAGCGATTTTCAGAGTGGTACACACCATGCACCATATTCTTAGCATCTGATACTAAGGCTTCATTAGCAGCCAGAAGCTATAAAAACATCCTAGCCACTTGAGTATACAAAACGCTGACTGCAGTGTCTGCTGTTAGGCAGGATCTAACACGATGGGAGGAGATGGGAGGAGACAGACAAAGACGGCTGGCTTGAGCAGCTGCTGGTGTGCTGTGACTGGGCCAATGCAGACCAGCTGTAATGAAAGAGCTAAACACTCATTTATGTGAGGGCCCAGCTGTGGAATTAGCCAATCAGTGGAAAAATCGCAGTTTTAGGCACAGGCTACAAGCTACAGCAGGAGACAACACAAGGGTAGCAAGAACTGTAAAGTGGGATAAAATCTACAAATATCTACAGTGGAAAATGTTCCCAGTCAAACATATCTGAGTCTCCAGACAGTCATAATTGAACAGACACACTGACATATTTACATTCCTTTACGCGGCAAACTGGACATGTGTACAAGCAAAAAAATGGCTTGAAATTATTTGGGGATCCAAATAAGTTATACAAATAGACTACAATTAGGACCTCTACAGATAACAGGAAAAATCGCTGTGACCAAACAAAGACTAGGGAAACAAACAAACAAAAAAGATAACAGGGAAAAGGCAGGACAATGGTACTGTTGAATGTTAGCTGAATTAAACATAACTGCCACATATCAAGAAAAATGCAATTTTTCATCCTTTTTGTTTAAGCTACTGATTGGTGCAGATGCTGATGGGGAGAGGCGGGGTGGAGAGGAACGTTTTAGGTGCTAGAGGAACATTTTCCTGATGATCCCATGCTCAAAGGAACAGCTGAAACTGCTGTTAGTAATATGTTATCTGATATAACCAAAATAGTATCTTTCAGTATTTAAAAACCAACAGATTGAAATTTTTTTTTAACTAAGTCTTCAAAATCGAAATGTGTGCCTGCACATACATCAGATCTCCTCAGATTCCTTCCGTTAAGACCAGGAATCTGCATTTTTAATAAGCTCCCCTGGCTAATTCTTATTATCAACCATCATGTATAAGAATCACTGTGCTAACAAATTATTCCTTTACTGAGTCCCTCTAGGACTAAAGTCTTCCCTCCTTTGGTGAATGTTTGAAGCCCACAGAAACATATTCCAAGGGAGGAAAATAATTAATGGGACATATCTGGATACTCTATATATTTTGGATAAATGACAACATTTCAGTTACAATCATTACATATTATCTAATTTTCAGCAGTGTTATCTTTACTGGTTCTACATTAGTGTAATCTGTGCCACATTACTCTATAATTAGCTTCTTAAAATGCACTGGAGGCCGGGCACGGTGGCTCACGCCTGTAATCCTAGGCTGAGGCAGGCAGATTGCTTGAGGTCAGGAGTTCGAAACCAGCCTGAGCAAGAGCCAGACCCCATCTCTACTATAAATAGAAAGAAATTGGCCAACTAATATATATAGAAAAACTTAGGCGGGCATGGTGGTGCATGCCTGTAGTCCCAGCTACTTGGGAGACTGAGGTAGCAGGATTGCTTGAGCCCAGGAGTTTGAGGCTGCTGTGAGCTAGGCTGACGCCACGCCACTCACTCTAGCCTGGGCAACAGAGCGAGACTCTGTCTCTAAAAAAAAAATTAAAAAATAAATAAATGAATAAAATAAAATAAATAAAATGCACTGGATAACAACTGTCTATTACCTTAGGAGAATGCCACATGAGGAACCAAAGAGAATAATTAATATGCATAGGGTGCTTAAGATGTATATATAATCTTTATATATTTCTGTGATAGGTCTAAGTAGTTTTAAAAGTTTAGAAAGTTAAATATTCAAACAACACAATTTTTCCAGACTGATCATAGAAAAACTCTTCTGTGGGCAAATAATAAGATGTCAAAGGTGGGCACAGTGGTTCATATTTGTTATCCCAGCACTTTGGGAGCCTGGGAAAGGAGGACAGAAGACATCAAAATTTAATATGCATAAGTTTATAACTGAAATATTTACTTAGAAAAGACTGATTTTTTTTTCTTATCTAAATTAGTCTTTTAAAAAATGTATGTATGTATGTATGTATGTATGTATGTATGTATGTATGTATGTATGCACTTTAGAGACACAGGTCTCACTATGTTGCCCAAGCTGGACTTGAACTCCTGGCAAGCCTTACTCATTTCCTAAGGCAAGAATAAGACTGTCACTTTACTTGGGATATAGCTGTATGGCAGAAATTTTTAATGAAAAGGATATTAAAAACATCGCTTTTACACAGCAATAGTCCTTTTTCAAGTTATCATCAAGTTTCCAGAAAATGTTATCTTAAATTTCTACCTGAAGTTTTTTGGGGGGGAGACAGAGTCCCACTCTATCACCCTGATCACCCTGGGAGAGTGCAGTGGCGTCATCGTAGCTTACTGCAACCTCAAATTCCTGGGCTCAAGTAATCATCCTGCCTCAGCCTCCCGAGTAACTGGGACTACAGGCATGTGCCACCACGCCTGGCTAATTTATCTATTTTTAGTAGAGATGGGGTTTCACTCTCCTGCCTCGGCTTTCCCAGAGTGCTAGGATTACAGGTGTGAACCACCATGCCTAGCCATGAAGTTTGCAAATTTATGATTCATGCTAAAATTAAGCTGTATATTCACATTTCCTCTGGCCATCTACAAAATAAAATAAAATTGAGCTGCATAATAAGCCTCAGACTCAATAAAAATGCCAGACCCCATCATCCAATATAAAAGCTGTATTTACTGAAGGTTACTAAAAAGACAATAAGGCCATTTACTTGTTAGTTCTCCCAGTCTGTGCAAGGCAAAGCCTCCTCTTCATCCTCTGACTCAGGGGATGCTTCTTTAATTCTTCTAAGAGCTTCATGGATGCTGCGTGTGAGAGGGTCTGTATCGGGCAGAAGTGTGAATGATTCTCTCAACACCTCTTTCTGTACCTTCTTCAATTTTACCCCTTTTCTTATCTGTGCCAAGATATTATTACTATCATCTTCATCAGGAAAAGGAGGCAGAGTTCGTTGTTCAACCTTTTTCAGGTGAAAACTACCACGCTTCAAGGAAGCTAGCACCTCATCCATGGGTGAGCTCACTTTGGAAAACAAAACAAAACAATTAGAGTTAGACTGCACTTATAGTCAAACTGTATAACCTATAGTGTTTTGACTAGGAAAGCACAGGACACCAAAACACCGCCTACAAAATGGATTGTGAAGTGTGGGCAAGTTGCCAGAGCAGAAGGAATTCTGAATAACCTTGCTAAATAAAAGAAAAAAAACCCAAGACTCAATTCCATGGGCGGTATTGTTGGTAATGCCCAGCATTTCCCATGGGAGATAAGTGAGCAGACTGGGAGCTCGTCTTAGGAATACCATAATCGAGAGTCCTAAAGGGTTTCCATATTTTACGTGCCCAATCCAAATTCAGACAGTGACTGGGTTATATATTTCATTTTTAAAGATTAAATTTTAGTTCATCATAGAGGCTGTGCACTTGTCAGTTGTTTTACATGCACAATTTTACTCAGATTGTGGTAAGAATTATTTGACAGAAAGGCATCTCAGATTAAAATGTAATACGCAAATTGCCTTATAATATGTGCTCCCCGTGCAAACTGAAAGCTCCTAAAAGGCAAGAATTATTCCCTGTTCTTTTTAGAAATAACTTTATTGAGGCATATCTGACATGCACTAAATTGCACCAATTATTCCCTATTCTTGTTTTTTTATACAAAGAATATATTTGGACAAAAGTCCTCAACAAATATGTGACCAAATGTCACACGATCCTGTCAATGTCTTCCCTGTGCCGTGGTCCTAACCAGATACCTTGCCCCTTTCTTAGGTAAGTATTTTTCTTTTCTCTTAGGGAAAAAAATCAGATTTTAATCCTAATACAAAAGGAGCCACTCACTATGCATTAGCGAAGAGATAAATATACCTTTGAAGGTAGATTTTCAAAACATGCCTAACAGCTCAAGAAGGTATACATTTCTCTATACCTATACAGATTTGCTGATGGGGGTTGGTAACAATTCTCCTTGGTTGAGACCTTAAAACCCTGTTTACTATCAAATAATGTTCAAAAATAAAATAATGCTTTAAGCTTTATATGGTCACACGAACTATAAAGTTTTTCCATTATTCCTAATTTCCTACAACAGATGGGACATGAAAATATCTTTTTAACTTACCCCTCCTCCTTTGCAAACCTTCAGCTGTCTTTCTGAGCTTCTTCCGGGCACTGACCAGCTGGCTGCTGTCAAAGAGGTGTGCTGAAGGGGCACTGGCAGACTTGGGGATCCTCTTCTCGGTCCCCTCCTTTCTAGGCAGATCCTTCTCCAGTGTCTCGGGGGCATTGTCCTTAGCAACAGGCAGAGGTGGGGGCGGTGGTGGAGGAGGAGGTGGGGGGGGAGGAGGTGGTGTTGGGGGACGAGGTGGGGGGAGTGGATCTACGGTAACAGAACATGGTTCAAGGTCGTTATTCACAAGTGGAAGAGATACAGTGGGAGGCAGTTCAGAGGTAACACCACTGAGAGGTAATGAAGTGGCTTCAAGTTGTGCTAATGAAGAGTCTTCAAGTTGTGCAAGGCTCTGGGGTTTTGCTGTCTGTGGTGGCCCAAGCTTGCTTCTTCCTTCTCCCACCTCGTCAGTTTTCTCTTCTACTTGTAACACTCCTGGTAGAGAATCACACTGATCCTCGCGGGGAACAGGACTTACTACACTTTTTCTTCTTGCGTGAGCCAGTCGTAATCTGGTTGATTTAAGTATAACTTGCCCAGGATACCTCTAAAATACCAGAAGATATTATAACAATTTGTAAGCAAATGCCTATTTATTTTTCCTTCAAGTGAAAGACAGTTTTGTTTCTCTATGGTGATTTTCCCTCTTAAATAATGTTATACAGAAAAACTTAAGATGCCTAGTACCTTTCAAACAATTATCATGAACCCTTTTATTACTTGCCTATCAAAACCATTAAGAATTTATCCTGCTCTTCTCTACTGAAGAAGTCAACTGTTCAAAATTATCACATGATTAAAAAAGATCTTCAACGAATTATTACTGATTTCAACATAAGAAATAAATAGCATGTAAAATACAAAAACATAATGCCAAACACATACATGCTACTGGTATGCAAAAAGCTAAGAAAGTATTATTTTCCTATATATTGTCAGATGCTGACAGGTGATAAAATTAAAACGTTAATGCAAGAGAACTGCTCAAGCATTTTGCATATATGTAGACCTACCCTCTAATTCTGCCAATGGTCACTTCCCTCTATTACCACCATAGGTTGATGAATGTGGAATAAATAACAAGTTGATGCTTGAAGTAGATAGTCAGTTGTGAATTAACTATGTTTTGTAAACTTAAGAGGAATCCAGGCTTTCAGAAGCCCTGATCATTCCTCTCATACTAAAGCTATGAGCCAAGGGTCACAAGAATACTAATTCTGGAAACAAAGAGAGGAAAAAGAACCATACAATCAAAACAATTTTTAAAATGACTTGCCATGGTTGTAAGATCTTCTAAATAAAAAAGGAAAAACCAAGTTTTTAATCATAAAAAGAAATCCCACAGGCATGTATTAAAGGTTATGTCTTAAATGAAAAATAATAAAGGGAACATACTTTTATTACCTGTTTAAACGTTCTAAGTCTATCCAGCGTTCTCTGTCTCTCTTGGCTAACCCAGGCACTTTTTCTTTCTTCTTCATCATGTAATTTTTCTCTTTTCTGGTAAAAAAAATTTAATAATTCCATTATGATGTATCTCATTCATTTCTATCATTAATAGGAAAAGAAGATGAGAAGTTCTACCAATACATAAAATGGATGGCTTAAGAGAATGATTCCTTGAACAAAATGTTTTAGTGCATGAAACACAGCAGAGTTTTTAATGTAAATAATTGTTTTAACATTCACACTAATATGGTGACAGAAATAATATTCATTTTCCTACATGTATTCTCAATTAAAGTACTCTGAGTACATGTACTGCATTAGGTAAAATGAAATCTCTGAATAAAAATGTTTTATCTCTGGGGTTCTGGCTTAAACAATTTTAGCATTAAATACTTCTAAGTGCTATATTCTGATAAGTCAAATATAGTTGACTTTGTAGTTAGAATATATTTGGTACATTATCCATGAGTCATCTGGTTTAATACCTATCACACCTTATGTTAATAGTTGGGCAGTTATCTATATAGAAATTTTAAATTTTCCCATTTTGTTGAATCATCTAAAAGCTGTATAAACTCTCATTTGGCAAAATAAATGAAAAGGCTTTCTATACAGGTGAATGAGTTATTACTTTATTTTCCTGCTTTGTTTTTAAAAACTTTAGATACCTTCCATAACACCAGCTTATTTCACATGGAAAATAACCACTCTTCTATTGTTCTGTCCTTGTCAAATTTAATCCTCCATTATTTTCTATCACCTCTCTCCCACCAGCTTTCCCCTGGAATATATAATTTCTAATGAGAATTTTTGCTACATTTGCCGTGAATGATTATATCAAAATGTAAGAAGATAAAGAGATATCCTACTTTCCTTTGATTCCTTAAAAAGGTGAGGGGGGAGATAAGGGTGAGCTTTGGATACAAGGAAATTGAAAAATAAAGGTATGTGATATATAAATGATTTTGAATAAAATGTAATTTTATAACATACTTATCTACACATAAGGAAAAAAAAGCACACCATATATGATCACATTTCAAAATAGTTCTTAGAGCCAAAATAAATTAGCATGTACCCAAAGTAAAAGACATAAGGTTTAAAAAGCAAGAAGAACCTCCCTAATCTGAAATTCTCCAAAATCCAAAACTATGTGAACAGACATAACTGCACAAGAGGAAAATTCCACCCTTGACATTGGCTATGGCTATAAAGTATATATGAAACATAAATAAATTTCATGTTTAGTCTTGGGTCCCATCTATATGTGCAAATATTGCAAAATCTATAGGAAAAAAAATCTGAAATCTGAAATATTTCTGGTACCAAGCATTTCAGATGAGGGATACTCAACCTGTACATTAATAAAAATGGAAAATGTTTCCAAGACACTGATACTATCATTCTTTGGGTCATTTACGTCATCATTAGAAGAATTATTAAATTGAATACACATAAAGTATGGGTAGGGGGACCTTTTAATTAAAAGAGAGTTGTATAAAGGCAGTCTTGACTCTTCTTTCCTTCTCTGACTCCAACTGAAACAAAGCAATTTAGAGAAGAAAACGCTATCTATATTCAAAGAATACAAGGAGATGATATCAACCTAAAGCCATACATTATGATATATACATGCCATATGTAAGAAATTTGACTAAAATGAGGAAGAGTATTAAGAGTCATCTTCAGACCTTGATGTAAGAGAGTTCTCTAAAAAATAAACGTCATTGTCTTGAAAAATCCATCCCCACTATCAATCAGCAATAAAACTGGGGAACATAAGACACAGGAGAAGCTAAGAATATTCCTGTAAATATCTGATTCCTTATCACAAATAGTGCAATGGATGTAGCTGAAGGGGAAGGAACAAAACAAAAAATAATATCTTTACTTTCAAGGTAGGGAAAGGGTAAGGTAGGGAAAGGCTATGTAACAATCTTTGAGATAGCCTATGACATAGGGCTTCCCACACATCACACAGGGAACCACATGGGCCTCGTGAATAGCTATGGGGCATAGAGGTAGCTTCTCCCTGCACCAATCCAAGATAAGAAACAATTAAAAAGGAAATGGTATTGGGTGGAGGAGGTCTACATATTCGAATCTGGTGGTGGGAGGGTGGCAGCTATTAAATGAAAACACAATAGAAACAAGATATGCCTGAAAGCAGGTCCTGTAGATGGGCTTAAAGACATCACAAAAAATAAAATGGAAAAAAACAAAAAGACAGAGCTTAATTAGCTTTGAAGAAAACGTCAGAATAAAAATCTGATGTAGGTATCGTTGGAGACCCTCACAGATTCAGGAAACTAACTTAAACATTAGTTAACATGCATGTATAAAAAGTTGGATATGGAATTCAGAGATAAATTAACTGACTAATCATACTGCTGGTCCATCAGTACAACATTGGGTCTTTTTTTTTTTTTTTTTTGAGACAGGGTCTCACTTTGTTGCCCAGGCTAGAGTAAATGCCGTGGCGTCAGCCTAGCTGACAGCAACCTCATACTCCTGGGCTCAAGTGATCCTGTTGCCTCAGCCTCCCGAGTAGCTGGGACTACAGGCATGCGCCACCATGCCCGGCTAATTTTTTCTATATATATTAGTTGGCCAATTAATTTATTTCTATTTATAGTAGAGACGGGGTTTCACTCTTGCTCAGGCTGGTTTTGAACTCCTGACCTTGAGCAATCCGCCCGCCTCGGCCTCCCAGAGTGCTAGGATTACAGGCGTGAGCCACTGCGCCCAGCCAACATTGGGTCTTATTACAATCTAAATAACTTCCAATTATTTTTACATTGTGAAGATTCATAGCATATTGGGAGGTGGAGGGAAAAAGGAACTGGGAGAAAGCATAAAGGGAATAATTTCATCCTCTTTCATAGTACAATTATAAGGTTGAAACAATCTTAAAAATTATTATCCTAATACTCAATGTTTTCCCAAATGTTCTTGTCAAGAAATTAGTAAATTCCAATAGTTCTTTCAGATTCAAGTATGCCTGTTAAAAGTAAAACGGATTTCGGCATTGATTTATTTTTTTTGTAACTTTTTCCTATATAGTTTTAATCTTTTATAACGATAATGCATCTTTTGATAAACAAAGTAGAGGGTCTTTTAAAATATACAAATGGTTAAGAAACTATTTTGCAAGCCACTAATTTAAACTGCTCATAAAAGAAGGACTTTAAAATTTGCTGGTAAATGTTTAGGATATATTCCTAACATCTAATGTGTAATCAAACTTTATACATAGACATCAAGATACTAAATTATTCAAGGGAAATGACCTTGCTTAGATAATAGGAATAACTTTAGAAACATTAAGTAAAATCAAGAAAACTTTTTAAGATCCTAAAGTAGAAAAAGTCAAAAAGTATATTAAAATATCATCTAAAACAGTAAAATGGCAGGGAAAATGTCTGCTTAAGATAAAGACATTCCATTCTTTCATCAAACACTTATTGATTAGCACTCCAACCAGGCACTATATTACGCACAAGGAAAAAAAGCAGATTGTCTAAGTGGAGAAGGGGGGAAGTAGGCATGTTTAATGGGCATGGAGTTTAGTGCTGTCAAGCACCCTGGGGGAAAAGGGGAGACAGAGTTCAAGTTTCCTAACTTGGCCAACACTAGGTGAATGGTGGTACCAGTAATCCAGAGTGGGAGTTCAAGAGGAAAGTGATTTGGGAATGGGGAGAAGAATCTCATAAGGTATTAATTCCCATACTTAACTTGGAATTGTGGCAAGAAGGGACTGTTTCAGTAATAGTAGACTCTATCTTCAGAACATCAGGCTTAATCCATATATAAATGTTTCTTGAGAAATTGTGCAGCCACTATAGGAAGTTAGGATGGGGGGGGGGGGAACCAACCCAGTGTCAAGGACTAAAGTGAAATTCCTGGCAAGAGGATAAAGAGTGGTAGTAGTGTTTTATTAACCATATGTGTGAATGATCTGTAGTTACTGATCAGGGAATGCCTTGAAGAGTGCCAGGATAGTCCACCTGTTCCCTAAAGGGATATGATTATCACTCACAACAGAGATCAGTTCCACTTTAACTCTTGGTCAGATCATTTGGACATAGATCAGCTCCTTTGATTTATGCCTAGGGAGGCAACAAGGAGTTTTAAGTAAGCAAAGAAGAATGTTCTTGTAGCTCTTCCTTTTACAAAAGCCCAGAAAGATCTTTTGTTTTTAGAGAGTTCTAAAAGTGGGTGGTAAGAATTCTCAAAGACCACTTATTACTAGATAGAAAGTCAGGCATCTCTTCAATAATATTAATAGTTACAGATGACCAAAGACTTGCTAAATAATCATAAAGTTTTCCAGATGGGAAAACTGAAAGAAGTTATGACCTAAGCTCTGCATTGAAAGCAGATGCATCATTTCCATATGAATTCTCACTTTAGAAACCAAAGCCCAGAATGGCCCATGGTCATATTGAGACAAAAATACACTCCACCTCCTTAACCTACTCCACGCTCATATCTGTTCACAAAGCTGGAATCTCCAAATCTCCTACCTAGCTGAGTCAGCAAAAGGAAGGAACTTTTTAAAGCCTCATGTGTGCCTCCCATAGCTACCTTGAACTGGGAATAAGCTTGTGGCTTCCCACATCCAGACACATGGCATGAATGTGCAAGGGGACAGAGAGATTTTCTAAGGCCTTTAGAGCAGCACTGACTCCAGAGGTAAATCAATTTTTCTAATTTAAAAGGATTTTATTCAATGGATGGTAGTGCTCAGTTGTTGAGGAAAAAAACATTAGTTAACATGCACGTATAAAAAGTTGGATATGGACTTCAGAGATAAATTAACTGACTAATCATACTGCTGGTCCATCAGGTAAGTGGTAAATACAACATTAGGTCTTATTTACAATCTAAAAGATCCCAGAGGAAGAGAGAAAGGGGAAAGGTACAAATTTCTGAGACATGAGCTGATGAGACTGTGTGGGGAAGTAGAATGTTTACAGAACATAGTATTATAGTATTATGCTTAAGTTTATAGCCAGTAATATGCAGGCCTGGGTCGAATACCAGGTCCCCCCTTCATTACAACCATGGGAAAGCCACTTAATGACTCCGTAAAATGAAGTTAACTTACCTAAGGAGGAGCTGGAAGGGTGACTGGGGGATGGGAATACCTATCAGAGCATGGAGGAAGCAGGCAGTACTAAAAGAACCAACTGTGAGCAACCTAAAAAGTTCTCAAAGATTCCATATATTACATCTTTTTTTTTTTTGAGACAGAGTCTCACTTTGTTGCCCAGGCTAGAGTGAGTGCCATGGCGTCAGCCTAGCTCACAGCAACCTCAATCTCCTGGCTCAAGTGATCCTCCTGCCTCAGCCTCCCAAGTAGCTGGGAATACAGGCATGCACCACCATGCCCGGCTAATTTTTTGTATATATATTTTTTAGTTGGTCAATTAATTTCTTTCTATTTTTAGTAGAGACAGGGTCTTGCTCAGGCTGGTTTCAAACTCCTGACCTTGAGCAATCCGCCCGCCTCGGCCTCCCAGAGTGCTAGGATTACAGGCGTGAGCCACCACGCCCGGCCATATATTACATCTTATAAGTATGTATGCTTTCTTGAGGTGAAGGCCATGAGTTATGTCATTACCAAAATAAATAAATAAAAAAAGATGGCATTTTTAATGGGGAAAATCTACTTGTTATCTGACAATTGTCTTCTCCTATACAATTTGTCTCCAAGCTAATAACAATTAAAAAGTAATACTAATAAATGAGTAATCTTCCTGTTTTTGGAGTTTACTATCAAATATTAAAATAAGCTTCCTTGGTTTTACTTATTTATTAATTTTAGAGATGGAGTCCCGGTGGGGTGGCTCACGTTTATAATCCTAGCACTGTGGGAGACCAATGTGGGAGGATCATTTGAGATCAGCAGTTGGAGACCAGCCTAAGCAAGAGTGAGACCCCCATCTCTACTAAAAATAGAAAAAACAGGTGGGCGTGGTGGTGTGCTGCTATAGTCCCAGCTACTCGGGAGGTTGAAGCAGGAGGATCACTTGAGACCAGGAGTTTGAGGTTGCTGTGAGCTACACTGATGCCACGGCATTCTAATCCAGGCGACGGAGCAAGACTGTCTCAAAAAGAGTAAGAAATAAAAAATAAATTTTTTAGGTGTTGATCAGTGAAACAAAAAAAAGAAAAAAAAGAAAAAGAAAAAAAAAATAAATAAATAAATTTTTAAAAGATGGGATCTTGCAATCTGTTGCCCAGGCTGGAGTGCAGTGGCACAATCATTGCTCACTGTAACCTCGAACTCCTGAGCTCAAGGGATCCTCCTGCCTCAGCCTCCTTAGCCTTGGTCTTACATATTTAATTTGCAAGGATTTCCAGGGAAAATCATTGAAACAATAAGGTTAACATCTAGGGATTACTTTTTCTTTTCTTTAATTAGAGACAGAGTCTCTGTCACCCAGGCTAGAATGCAGTGGCCCAATCACAGCTCATTGCAGCTCTGAACTCCTGAGCTCAAGAGATCTTCCTCCCTCCACCTCCCAAAGTACTGGGACTACAGGCATGAGCCACTGTATCTTGGCCTCTAAGAATTATATTTTTAAACAACCCACCACTTGAGATTCTAATAAAGGTAGTTTAAAACTAGATTTGAAATACAATAATCTCTTTTGATCTAAGCCAACTTTCATTTTACTTTAGCTATGCATGTTAAAGATGACTATTTAGTTAATGGATTCATTCTCTGATAATTAGATACTCCTGTCCAGGCTGTCATTGGCAAAATTCTAAGGTACATGACGTTTATTTTTTGAGATTCCCTCAAGTATCAATTTCCTCATTTTTATCCCTCTTTGCCCACAAAAAAAAATTTTTTAAAGGATCTGATATTGGTTCTAAAATTTAATTAGTTACTTCCTCCACCAAAGCATTAGCATTTTGTCAAGAGTCAAAATCTTCATGCAAAAGTGTGGAATCTTAATAACTAAGCTAATTATGGAGGTATAGATGGTGATGGGAGTATCCTTATTCACGTCACTCATGCTGGCCCCTTTACTAATCTTGTAAAGCAGTTTCTGACCTATGGAAATAGTAATGAAAAATAAAAGTACATTAATTAATCTGCTTATTTCCAACTTCTAGGAAAAAGGTAATCTTATAGTTTATGGGTAATCTGGCTAATTTTATTTGCTTCAAATCAAGAGTAAGAGGTACCTTTAGCTAAAAATGTGCTAAAATGAATTTAAGGGGTAATGTAGACAAACTTTAGCCCTTTAGCCTTTAGTGTAACACTAAAGAAAGAAAATTTTTAAAATAAGCAAATACACAGATATAGTCATGTTTTATTTTGAGTTTTTTTTGAGACAGAGTCTTGCTCTTTCACTCAGGCTAGAGTGCAGTGGCATCACCATGACTCACTGCAACCTCCTGCAAGTTCCTACGTTCAAGTGATCCTCCCGCTTCAGCCTCCCAAATAGCTGGGCCTACAGGTGCACCACCATGGCCATTTAATTTATTTTTGGTAGCGACAGCACAATATTCTGTAGGAGTGATAAGCACAGGAATACTGGCAGTGTAGAAAGGTTTCTAATATAATTTCATATAAAGTAAACTAACATTTTCAGTAAACCAGAAAGATATGGAACTTCCTCTATTTGATAAAGAGCATCTACCAAAAAACCTACAGATAACATCATAATTAATGGTGAGAAACTTATTCCTGCTAAGATCAGGAACAAGACAAAGCTGTCTCCTCTTACCACTCCTTTTCAACATCATTTTAGAAGTCCTAGCTAATACAATAAGAAAAGGAGATGAAAAGGTATACAGATTGAGAAAGAAGAAATAAAACTGTTTCTGTTTGCAGATGACAGATGCAGAAAATTTAAAACAAAACAAAACAAAAAAACAATTAACATTAAAAAATCCCGGAATATGTGATTATACCAAGGTTTATATACAAAAGTCAACTGCTTTCTAATATGTTAGCAATGAATAATTGGAGTTTCAACTTAAAAACAAAATACTATCTACATTAGCACCCCCAAAAAGAAGAAATACTTAAATATAAATTTAACAAAATATGTACAAAATCTACATGAGGAAAATCATAAAACTCTAATGAAAGAACCCAAAGAATTGAATTAAATGGAAATACATTCCTTGTTTGTAGATAGGAAGGCTCAATACTGTTAAGATGTTAGGTTTTCCTAACATGATTTATAAATTCAATGCTACCTCAACCAAAATCCCAGCAAATATTTTGTAACTACGAACAAGAGGCCAAAAAGACCTAGATCAACGAAACAAAATAGAACACCCCAAAATAAACCAAAAAAGGCAGACTCATCTTTGACAAAGGAGCAAAGGCAATTTAACTGAGAAAGGGTAATCTTTTAAACAAATGGTGCCGGAACAACAGGACATCCACATACAAAAAAAATTTTTAAGTCTGACATAGACCTCATGCCCTTCATAAAAAATAACCCAAAATGGACCATAGACCTAAATATAAAATGCAGAGCTATAAAACTCCTAAATGATAACAGCAAAGAATCTTTTCCAGATGCATGCTGGGTAAAGGAAAAAAGAGAATCAACATGACTTTGGGTTGGGCAATGACTTTTTAGATACAATATCAAAGATATAATCCATGAAAGAAAAACTGGTAAATTAGACTCTGACCAACATCTTCACCAAAGAAAATATACAAGTAGCAAACAATCATATAAAAAGATGTACCATATCATTTGTCATCAGGAATATGCAAAATAAAGCAACAATGAGATATCACTATATACCTATTAGAATGACTAAACTTCAAAACTTTGACAAGAGCAAATGCTGGGGGAAATGTGGAACCACCTGACCTCTCATTCACTGCAGGTGGGAATGCCAAATGGTACAGTTGCTTTGGACGACAGTTTGGCATTTTCTCACAAAACTAAATATACTCTTACCACACTAACTGCAATCATGTCTGTGGGATCTACCCAAATGAGCTGAAATTTATGTGCACAAAAAGTCCTGCATAGATGTTTATATAGCACTTCATTCCTAATTGCCAGAGCTTGGAAGCAACCAAGACATCCTTTAATAGGTGCCTGAATAAATAAACGGTGTGACATGCACACAATGAAATATTATTTGCCCCTAAACTGAAATGAGCTATCAAGCCAGGAAGACATGGTGGAACCTTAAACCCATGACATTAAGTTAAAGAAGCCAACTGAATAGGCTATGTACCATACAATTCCAATGATACATTCTGGATAAGGCAAAAGCCTGGAGACTACACAGAGATCAAGGGTTGGGGGAGAAGGAGGGATGAACAGGACAAAGGGCTATTTAGGGCAGTGAAATTATTCTGTATGACACTATAATAGCAGAATCATGTTTTTGTGTATTTGTCAAAATAAACAGAACACAAAACACCGAGAAAAAGCCCTAATGCAAACAACAGATTTTGGGTGGTGATGATGTGCCAATGTACCACTCTAGCACGGGAGGCTGATAGTGGGGGTGGTGGGAGTGGGCAGTGGGGTGGGGGTGGGGGCTATGCAAGTGTAGGGATGGGGTATATGAGATGTTGATGGTGGTGGGCTATGTGTGAGTTGAGAGTATAGGGACTCTGTACTCGCCACTCAATTTTACCTAAAAAGTGCTCATTAAATAAAGTGAACTAATAGTAACATCAAGTTATAAGATTATTCTTCTCTATAGAGTTTATCCACTTTAAGACATGTAAAAAATGAAGTTTTCTTCCCAGTTCTCCACGAGTCCAAACTTACTTGTTGTACTGTGTGGTGAGTTCTATATTCATCTTCACTCCGAGTACGCTGCTGGAATTTTTCATTATGTTTTGCAATACAAATTTCCTATAAATACATAAAATATGTTTTGATACAAGTGAAACTTGAAAGACTCTAAACACCACACCAAGGTTTATTTGATAACGTTTAATAACATACACCACCTACATAGCAAGGTACCATGTAACTACTACATGTAAACTACTCCTTGTGTCTTACCTGGACTAGTGAAGCTCTGTAAGCCAAATAAAATCAGAATCTTACAAATCAGACTATTAAACTATTAACTTTTCTAGCACATTAACTGCCATGTGAGCTGTATTTAACTCACACTAGTTTTGAGCCCAAGGCCTGGTAAGCACACATAACTCACACGTCTCTTTACCTCGCGATCTGCGTGAACTACTTTTCAAGTTGCATATAACTCACACACAGAAAACAATAAAAAAGAACCCAAGTTTTCATTAATTTAGAAAGGAGCATTTTGTTTTTGAAGTTTTGATTCTATTTTCGCAATAAAACACCGTGGCCCACAAAAAAATTTTTTTTCTAGTGTGGTAGTCAATGTGCTAGACCCTCCTGATTTCTCCTTTTCTGGAAGGGTAGGGATGATACAACGTGGAATAAAGGTGTCCTTATATAATCTAAAAGATCTCTTCAAGTCTGAAGTCTATGGCCAGAAGATTCCAAGTCTCATTATACTCTTTAAACACATCTGGGCAAAAATAAAGACTATACAACTCTTGTTTTAAAACCTGTATTTTTAAGCTCTCTCTGATGAGTTAAAAACATGATTTTACCCAGACTAGTTTAAATAGTATCATAAGATCTGAATCTTCTGGTCATAGACATCAGAGCTAAAAGAGACCTTAAAGACTAGAATGTCAGTATTATAAAAAATAATTTAAGCTATAAATGTCTTTTTTAGTCACAAGATAAAATAGGAGAGTCTTATAATAATTAGAAGAGATGTGCTTCTTTATAAAGTAATGTACTATAATCTTACTGAAAAATACTTAGCAGCACCAAGCTAAATCTTCATTTAACTTGTGTCCTTCCTAATTTAACTATCCTTTGGTTCTTGAGATAAAAAGGTTCTCCAGATAAAAAGGCTGACATCAGTCTCCCAACATACCCCAGCTACAGCACTTCACTCTTTCTATCCGAGAAAGCCACACAATAACCTTTAAAGTCAGTAAACTGTATTTTAAAGCAAAATGTATACATCACAGTTCTTCACTCACACTGGTTCACTCTATTGCCCAACAAGAATCTGTCCCATGCAGTTGGGAAAACAAAGGTAGCATTACTTGGTGTTGTGATAGTATAGTGATACAGTGACTCTGCTCCTGAGTCACACAGCCTAGTATAGAATCTGTACCCCTGCCTTATACAAACTGCTTCTCCGTGGGTGATTTATTTCACTACAAGAAGCCTTGGTAAACTTTGTTATAAAATGAGGATATAGGTCCACAATCCTTTATCCAGAAAAGAGGTAAAATGTGTTGAGAAATTCAAACTTTTCATATTTTAGAGAATGGTGTTGTATGTTGCATAACCTCATAACATGAGTAGGATATGAATCCATACCCCATCGTAAGGAATAATATTTTTCCAGTGAAATGTTATGAATAGTCAGAGTAAGTGAGATCAAGATTAAAAAACAACTTCTTGTCAGTTCAGGCCTGGTTTTGCCACCAAATTAAGTATGCAAATGCTTCCGATTTTCTGAGCTTTCTAGATTTCACGCAAGGATTACCGTATTTGACTACTAGGAGAATTAAAGAAGATAAAAAATACATAAAGAATGATGTTATTTCTATTACTTTTCTTGAAGCATTTAATCACAAAGCACTGACCTCAAGTCCTGACGGGATAGACAGAGACCGCCTATCTCCACTCTTTTAAAGGTGAGGTAGGACATGATTTGCTTTTAATCAGAACTAGCCCTGGGTATGCAATCCTATTGTGGTGACAGAGAAATCAAGGAGCCAGTAATCTTGGCAATGTCAATATGTAAACTAGGGTATCTTGGATGATGTTTATTTTTATCTTTTTTCTTGCATATTTGCTCATCTCAGTTTCTTTTTTAGGACTAGGTATTTCTCATTTCCTGTCTTTTCACTCATCATACGTCACTCCTTCTTCCCTCTGAAGTTACGTTACTTCAGTTGGTGGCTTGGAGGACGGGGACACAAGTGTAAATGGGTAGATTCTCCAGGGGTGGCTTCCCTCAGGTCTAGATTAAGATAAGAATGAAGACTAAAGGGATACTGATTAAATTGATGTGAGCTAATAATATATGCCAACAAAGGAAGAGTTAAGGGAAGAGCTGGGCCTGAGTCAGGCTCTTGATGCCACTAAAAGAGCACAGAGTTATGTGTGCCCTGGTCACCAAGGAGGTTACTCCTTCTTCACCTCTGACCTGTGTGTAGCCAGCTTCCTCTGCTGTTCCTTTAGTCTCCACTCTAGACCTGTGCCACGCCCCCTCTGAGACTATTGTGACCTAGCTCTTGCCCCCAACTCTCTCCACAAAATTCTCAACTTATTAGGCCTCAATAGTCTCAATACTGAATGTCATGGAGCCCCCTAATTTCTTTCCCACTTGACCTCTCTAGAATACCTGACACTGCTGACCACACTATGTGTTAGAATCATCTTTCTTCTTCACTTCTGTGACTTCAAGCTCTCCTACTTCTTTTAACTTAAACAACTCTCTTTGTCTTTGATCCCTTTCTTCTGCACATACTCAAATGCCTGGCAGTGTTCTTTCCCTCACACTACATCAGAGCAGCTCAACCTATGCCTTGTATGATGCCTTCTTATGCCCTAGCCAAGGATGTTTTGCTGAGCTTTGCTTACTAAATTAATATTTAAGTATAAGGAAGACTTTTTTTCTCAACCAAATTATGTATCTATCCTGTTCCACCCACCACCTTCCCCTTGTTCTTTCCTATCGGCTCCAAACCTCTACCCCTACCACTCCTAAGAATCACCTACTCAATAAGTTCTTCTAGGACCATTTCATCCACTCTTGCATTACCAGACCCATATGCCTGTCTCATGGTCATCTCTACCTGGATACCCCTAGACCTCTTATATGCAAGTCTAAAACTTAGCTCCTCACCTATCACCCACATGTGCTCTTCCTCTGGGTTTTCCATCTTGGTTGGTGGCATCATCACCCACTTCAATGCCTAATCCAGAACATGTAAGGCTGGTGGAGAATAGCACCTCATCTCTCTCCTTTACTACTTAATCACTAAATCCTATTGACTTTCTAATTCTGCAAAGTTTCAGATCTGTATACTTATCAGATTTGTATATTCCTTACGATCTATATGGTCACTAACTTAGTTCACAGTCTTAACATCTCAACTTGATTGAGGTGGAGAATAATGTGACACCTTCCAAACAGAACCTCGGAGTCTCTTCTCTCTAACCTATTTTTCATCTTGCCTCATCTTCCTAAAATTTAAATCTGTTCATACTATCCCTTTGCTTAACATTTTTCATTAATTTGCACTATCTTCAGAACAAAGCCCAGGCTTGTTAGTGGCATATATAAAAGTTTCCATAACCCAGTCCTTGCAGCATGTGTTACCGTGTATAGTGCCCTAAAGCTATTTTCTGCTTCAAGTGTCTTTGTCAGGGCACTCTTTTGTTCTGCCGGGCTGTTAACACCCAGTCCAGCGTCATGTCTTCTAAGCTTTTCCTTACCCCCTTCTCTTCCCCTGTTACTGGCAGGCAGAACATTCAAGTGTTCACCTGGTTTGCCTTCTCTGTAAGGCTGAAAGGAACAGGGACTGTGCCTTGCTCATCTTTGTATCCCAAGCCTTACAATTTGCCTAATACACTGTTGAATTAAAATGATTCAGATTTCTAAGTTTGAATTGTATTGCATTTTCAAAAAATGCTTTTAAAAACTTTCATGTTGGCAAAACTCCAACTAGTTTCTAAGGTACTATAATGTATTATACACCTAAAAGCAATATATAAAATAATGTTTCTAATATACCTAAATGGCCTGCTCTTTTAAAGTATACTTATATTTCATTCTCCCCTCAAACTTTTTTCTATAGACAGTGCCAGGATCTGCTGGAATCACTGCAATGTTTACCTGGTTGGCACGGGCTGAAATATCACACTCACAACCATCAGGCCCAGGCTTGAAAAAATAGGGAGTTTCAATTACCATTGTCTTGTGGAAATAGGAAAGGCACAGAATTATGTGAAAGCCATGGCTTTGGATGCCAAGGTAACTGTTCTGTTAATGGGCAAAGTGATTGAAAGGTCTTGAGTTCTGACTTACTGCTGAGCGATGCCTGCCTGAATTTCTTTAAAGTGCAAGAGTTATCTATTTCAAAAAACAAAGGCCTTTGATTTTCTATGGTATGGGGAAGTAAAAGCCCTGGTATGTGGTGAACAGCAAGAAGGCGCTTTCTCAGAGAGCACTTTTGCCTGAATATCTGAGCCTAACATAAATCAGTACCAGGCAGTCATAAGTGTGTGATCATAGCTCACTGCAGCCTTGAACTCCTGGGCTCAAGCGATCCTCCTGTCTCAGCTCCCGAATAGCTGAGACTACAGACGCACGCAACTAAGCCTGGCTAATTTATAAAAATATATTTTTGTTGTGTTTCAAATATTTTGCAATGTGCTCAAAATTAAAAACAAATAAGTAACAATCTATACAATTCCTTCAAGACTGAGGTCAGAAGACTTGTATAGCATTAGTGGCCTCCTTAAATAAGACAGGAGCCAGGAATTGCATTAATATGGGATCTAGTAGTCATGGCTTTTAGCAGAGTTGCCTTTAGGGCTTCTGATGGTAAAGAGCACAACACCACTGGCTGTTCCAATATGCTTAAAACGGCAATTCACAAGAGAACTATGTGCGTTTAATAAAATGGACTAAGCTCTGACAAGAGGTTAACTCTTAGTTTTAAAACATAACCAAATTCTACTGACAGAAACAGATTAGAATTAGTGGACATGGATCAAAAACTAAGTAATGGGGAAAAAAAGACTAAGTAATAAAAGTAAGACTTAAATACCTTTTTATTTCTGAGGTATGCTTTTTTAGCTGAAACCCGTCCTCGTCTTGCTTCCAGCTGGCGTGCTTTCTGCTGAAGTTTCTGCAGCTCTTCTCTCTGTAAGTACACAGACGCTGCCATCTCTTCCTTCTCCAGCATTGCCTCCATACTTTCGTACGTGTCATAGTACACCACTTCATCTCTCTTTTCTGTCGCAGAACAGCAATGAGGGGTAGTGGTTAAGAGCATGGGCAAGTGTTTAGCAGTGTCTGTCACTGCAGTAAGCACTAAACTAATGCCACACCTCCCTCCCACCCTCCCAAATTTTAACTTCTTAAGAGAAGAAACATAGCTGCTGTCCATGAGCATTTCCCCCATATAGTCACTCTTTTGTGGAATTACATGCTTAAAACCCACATCATACCCGATATGAGTCTTTTGATGCTTTCTAGTTGTGCTGTCAATAGTAGCTCTTCACACTTCAAGATTTCAAACTGTACTTCATACAACTGAAGTTGCAGATCATAATAATCAGCTTCTAACTGATCCAATCGGGCTATAGCTTCTGTACCACCCTGCAAACTCTGCATCTGCATTGAAAATAAAAATATTTCTCGTCAGTGGGGGACAAGAAAAAAATCAAGTTATGCTTAGAAAATAGCATTAATCAGATAGGATAAATCCATAAAGCAACTGCTCTCAAATAAACCTGTAAAGAAATCTAGACTTTTAAAACATATAAAAATAGTAGTAATCAAGTCATATGGTTGTGGAAGTAAGGAGGCCAACATGATAAAAAATAAGGTTCTTAATGTTTATTTTATATCTCATTCATATTTCTTGTCCTGACATAAATGATGGCCAGGTGCAGTGGCTCACATCTATAACCCCAGCACTTTGGTAAACTGAGGCAGGAGGGTCAATTGAGCCTAGGAGTTTGAGGGTGCAGTGAGCTATGATCACACCACTGCACTCCAGCCTGGATGACAGAACAAGACCCCTTTTCTTTTTAAAAAAAAAAAAATATATATATATATAATATATATATATATATAAATATACATATATAGTCTCCTTTTACTCTCAAAAGTGGATGGTAAGACATGCAGTTACTCTTTTCATGAGTTACATGAGAATGATTGGGCCATTCTCAGATATTTACAATAGAGTGGTAAAAGCTGATTCATCCCACACATCTGGGGCTTTGCTTTGTTTCATGGTCACAGTCTGGTAGCTTCCGGGTTTTGACTGAAGAGTGAGGCAAGTGTATGTGAGCAAAACAGGATTGCTTTAAGATGGAAATCCTTGCAATCTACAGGTAATGGTCACTACTCTCTTTAAGTAATTGCAATCAGGGTTCTAGATTGAACCCAAAGTGGGATTCAGAAATTTCTGAGGATGGCTCACAAAGTTGTGAATGGTCTTACATGAGGTTTGTCTAGTTGGTTGGTTTTTGGCCCGCAAGAGAGGAAACATTTTTTGCTGGGAATCTTAAGGAAACCACTAGGGGCAAAGTATGCTTCAGATATTGAATGTATGCTTCAGATATCTGAATCAAGATTATCTCTACTATTTCCATGGCTTCCAATTTGGCTCTCTGGAGAAAAGCAGCCGTAAGAGGCTGAAAGAATGGCTTTTCAGGAGTCCGTGAGAAGTGAAGTACAAGCATAATTTCCTAGTGAGAATGAGTAAGCATTCCTCAAGAACATTTCTTCCAGGAACACAGCACAAGGGCTTTGGCAGGTTAAAAGTTCATGCTTAGAAGCTCCAGGAGAGCCCTGGCATGCACATCAGTGTGCCCAGGGAGCCCTAGCAGCAATGGTGGGGAGGCCTTGGCCCCAAGTGCCTTCCCAAAGAGTGACCACTAAAGGGGGAGGAACAAAAAGGAAAATCTGAGTATTATTTGTGAGTTCATGTGAGATTTCACTTGGGACCCCTGAATTCCAGAGAAATACCTGACTGGCAGTACTAGACAGCTCACAGTGGCAAAAATAGTGAATTTTTATTGCTGCTAACTGATCTGTGTGGGGAAATTGGTGAAAACATGACAGAACAAAGAATATGTTTTAAACAAGATTCCAGCTTTAGCTTTACAGTCTAGATATCCACATAGTTACCACCCAATGATGGAATTTTTTTTCCTTAATACATAATTTAAAATCCCTGTAACATGAATTTTGAACTGAAAAGCAATGGTTAGGCTCTTTCTAAATGTGCAGTGGTATACATTTAAAATTAACAAGTGATACTGTTACTATAGTGATAAATAAATTTTATAAATTAAACAAATACTTAAATTATCTAAGTTGTAAGCTAGTGAGTGATTTGATTCTGTTGCATTAGGAAATATTTTATGAGTAACAATATATATAACCACCTCAAAAGTGGGTTTTTTAATAGCTAGAGAGGGGAATGCTGACAATATGAAATCCTGCTGTTTTTGTACTGGGTCATTAAATAAGAACCTAGGAATAATTTCTACACTAAGACTCCCAGGCTCACTTTAGATTATAAACATCTCTTTTCATACAATCTTGGGGCTCTTGTCCAATTCTGGAGACCACAGACCCAAGTTTGTATCTTCTTATTACCTATACCCACACTTTCTGTAACCACAGCATACAAACAGATAAAATACCTGATGTTAAAGTCTTTATTCTGAAGTGGAGACTCAGTTAACTTTAGTGTAAATTTAGGATCACTTTCCAGTGACATTGTTCAGGTCGAGGCTGTTAGTTCCACTTTTACTACTCTGGTTCTCTCTAGCTAAGTGATCACTTATCTACTATGTTCATCATGCTAAGTTCTTTCCCTAGTACTCTCTAGGTTTGTCTATCCTTTCCAGTACTGTCAGCTGCCTCAACTACAAGTAGGGCAGTGCTCTGAGTACTACCCGGGGCCAATGTACCTTAAAACACTTGAGAAGCATAGTGCTACCAGGATACAGTCAATATCAAGTATCAAACCGAGAAAGGAAGTGGGTATTCTCTTACAAGCAGTGACCTCACCCCCAATTTTCTGGTTCAGTGAGCACTATCTAGAGCAAGACTCCAGAGATGGATTTATTTGCCAAGGGCTGGGTTCCAAAGAACAAAACCTCATCAGAGGCAGATGGGCAGACAAGGTGTCTGTTAAACAATCACAGCCCCTGAAAGAGCAAACAAAAGGGCAATGGTGGGCTTTGGGGAAAAGTTTTCGTAGGATCAGAGTACACAGGCTTTTATGGAGTAAGCTAAACAGAAAGTGATGATAAGAGTCAGAGAAATCTGGGATGGCAAGATGGTACTCCAAGGTTTATCTAAACATCAACATGGAAGAAATACTTAGCGTATGGCATGAAGACGTATGACACATGCTCTAAATCTCCTTCCTATAAAATCTGGAATTTCCAGACTGACTTTTCCTGTCCTAGGCTGACAGCCACAGGCATAAAGGGAAAGGAAATCCAGGGTAGAAAGAGAATTTCAGATAATTGAGGAGTGCAGAGAAGGTGGGTGCCACAATGGGGGTACCTGTGTTATACCTGGGGGCACTATTTCCCTAGGCAAGAAGGAAGCCCAAAAGGTAGATTAAGTATTCAAAAGAAAATCTTACCTACCTTCAAATTTTACTCATCTTTACTTTCACCACCCTGAACAAACACATTTGAGGGGGAGAGTGAGAGTCTCACTCTGTCTCTGTGGGTAGAGGACAGCGGCATCATTGTAGCTCACTGCAACCTCAAACTCCTGAGCTCAAGCAATCCTCCCACATCGGCCTCTTGGAGTGCTAGGATGACAGGTGTGAGCCAACACACCAGGTCTAACAAGCATACTTTAAACATCAAGAGATCAAGACCCTAAACCAAATTAACTTCCTTCCCAATGTGACTAGCAAAGCTGGAATTCTCTCAATTCCTACAAGAGTGCTGTTTCCACTAGATAAAATTAGAGAGTGCCATCCAAAAAATTAAGGAAAAGGTAACAAAGTATTATTACAGTAAATCTGGCAAGGAAATCAAGTACCAGTTTATGTCCACACATTGACTGAAGTACCATATACACTGCTGACTCCACAATCATTCTCAATGTGTGTAATAATGATATAGAAATTTTAATGCACAGCTATATTGACTGACTCTATTATATCATGAAACCAGATAGAAAGCAACATATACAGTCCGGGCGTGGTGGCTCACGCCTGTAATCCTAGCACTCTGGGAGGCCCAGGTGGGCGGATTGCTTGAGGTTAGGAGTTCGAAACCAGCCTGAGCAAGAGTGAGACCCCCATCTCTACTATAAAATAGAAATTAATTGGCCAACTAATATATACAGAAAAAATTAGCCGGGCATGGTGGCACATGCCTGTAGTCCCAGCTACTCGGGAGGCTGAGGCAGTAGGATTGCTTGAGCCCAGGAGACTGAGGCTGCTGTGAGCTAGGCTGATGCCACAGCACTCACTCTAACCTGGGCAACAAAGCAAGACTCTGTCTCAGAAAAAGAAAGAAAGAAAAAAAAAAAAGCAACATATACAAACTAATGATACCCCTCTTCTGTCTTTTCCCACTGTGGTAGAAAATTCCTATTGACATTAGAGGAGCTACTGAAAAAACAGGGCTATGGGTTGACTCATTCCTTCAACAAATACTCACCTAGCACATACCATTGTTTGAGTCACAGAGAATGTGTTTGAATTATAGAGAATACAGTAAACAAGACATGAAGTGAAGGTTCAAAAAGAAGTCATAAAAACAACACACAGAATAAGGGAAATAACATTAAGGGCAAGTTATCTATCAATCAAGACTAGCCCTCTTACATGGAAAAGGTGTTAAGATAGAACAAGAGACTTAGAACCAGACAAACCTGATTATAAATACAGGTTTCCCCACTAAGCTGAAAAAATAAAGATAATACAAACTGACAGAATTATCTGGGATTCCACATTTCACAAATCTTGGAAAACTAAAATTTTCCATAATCTCTTTTAATGTCAACCCTAACCTCTCAATCCATTTGTAGGAAAACATGATCTAAAATCCTGTGAAACCATTGTTAGTCCTTAGTTATTCCATTTAATGTGACTCTCTTTTATTACATGGGACAACACTTGTCTGAAGTTATATGCTCTACATTAACTTTCTAAAATCTAAAAATGTGGAATTCTGAAATCCCTGGCCTCAGGGGATTTCAAGATAATGGCTTAGGGCTTGTAGCATAAAGGGTTATATTTGAGAATGTAATGATAAAATATACATAAAGCACTAAGGACAGGGCCTAAAACATTTAAAACTTTTCTACTTCCTTTTTTGTAACTGCTGCTAAAATATAATTTAGATGGCAAAAACAATTTAAGTAATTAATATAAATTAAAGCCTTCAGAGTGGAGCTTAGCTTTCAGTATAGGTGATCCTTGGTTATGGATGAGATTCATTCCTAAGAACATCTTTGTGTCACATTTGTATGGATCCCTGATGAACAGTGCATGTACAGTAATAACAATAATACTATAATGGCTCATATATGGTATTAATAAGGTGTAATACTTCAATAATAATATTCCTGCACTGTAGTAATAGTGTAGAAATTATTCTGCACTTTCTTTTAATTGAAACAAACAGAACATAAAAACAAACTCATACAAAGAGTTTAGGTGAGAGAAATTTCAAAATATTAAGATTAACACTATCTAATGTTATATCAATGCTATGCTAACAGGATGTTAACCTTACTTTGATTAATCAAATCAATAACCTTTCCATTTCAGTAATTAATCCACTACACTGCTTAGTATTAACTGATACTTTCAATGGAGTGCTGATTTTCCCATGTTCCATTATTCTCACCTTATCCTTTATAACTGTTAGTCAAGTGCCTGAAGCCTAATGCTTTCCCAGTGAATGATGGCATCTGGCCTTTCTCTAAATGCCTAATTATTTCTAATTTAGTTTTTATTGTAGTTCTCTTTCTCTTCCACTGCAGGCTCACCTGGACTTGCAGTGGATTTCACTTTGAAGACATGGTCATGAGGATAAATGCAGACTCTCAAAATCCAATTAAAAAGACAAAGTGATGCAGTGCATAAATGACCATTATAAACAATGAGGCTAGCCACCAGTATAAAGATGCTGTGCCAATCAACCTCTTAGGTCATGAGGGTTCATTCATGGAAGAAACTAGTTCCCAAATGATTAATTTGCTTAATTATAAATTATCCTTATAGGGAGCCCATACATAAATATGGAATGCCATAAGTTGGGTTGTCCAAACCCAGTAACTACCTGTACTTAGAAAATTTAAAATATTGAGTATGCCAATAAGGAACAATCTGCTTATTGACAAATAAATTGAAAACAATAAACCAGTCTCACTGCCTGGATAAGCACCTCAACTTCTCTGCCTCTCCTCAGGCTATGTACACATCAAACCTCCTTGTTGTTAGAACTTTCTGGCAAGGCTCATACAACATGCCACATCCAGCATCCTTCGGTGAACCCTGAAATGTTGGTTAAGGCAAGTAAACATCCCAAGCATGGGAACTGTTTCTTTCTCTTCTTTGTATACCTTTCAGTGATACTTGTACAACAGCTAACATAGAATGAGTGTAGTAATAGCTAATATTTATGGAGTTCTTCCTCTATGTCAAATACTATGCTAAATACTTTATATATACATATAAACCCATAAAATCATAATAACCAGTAGAGGTACATATTATTTAAATTTCATAAAGAGGTTAAGTCTTTTATGAAGTCTTCACTCAAGACTTCATAAAAAGTTACATATGCAGAATTGGTATCTACAGAATTGCTCTGTTCAATGCCAGTCACTACCCATATGGTGCTATTTAAATCTAATTAGAAATGCTGGTTCCTCTGTTGCATAAGCCTCATTTCAAAAGCTCACTACCCACTTATGGTTGGAAATTACCCTATTGGAGACTGCAAATACAGAACATTTTCATTGTTGCAGGACATTCTGCTGGATAGTACTGTCTGGATCCTAGGCACATATCCACATGTATATCCATATGTATATCCATTTGTATGACTGTATACCAGAGTATACAATCAATACCCATAGATACTAGATGCATTAAAATAAAACTGATTCAATGGCAGTGACTTTGTTTAAAAAGAAAGAAAGAAAAGAAAACGATAAAAAAAACTGAAATAGGAGAATGCAACCTTAACTGATCATAATTCAGATATATGCTTTTATGAGAAAGACAAAATTGTGAAATTTAAGTAGCTAACCTCAAGATTGGTATACAGGCCGGGCACGGTGGCTCACGCCTGTAATCCTAGCTCTCTGGGAGGCCAAGGCGGGTGGATTGCTCGAGGTCGGGAGTTCAAAACGAGCCTGAGCAAGAGTGAGACCCCATCTCTACTATATCTAGAAAGAAATTAATTGGCCAACTAATATATATAGAAAAAATTAGCTGGGCATGGTGGCTCATGCCTGTAGTCCCAGCTACTTGGGAGGCTGAGACAGGAGGATTGCTTGAGCCCAGGAGTTTGAGGTTGCTGTGAACTAGGTTGACGCCACGGCACTCACTCTAGCGTGGGCAATAAAGCGAGACTCTGTTTCAAAAGAAAAAAAATTTAAGTCAAATAGAATTTTGCTTCAAGGGCATTTTTAATATTTCAGAATTAATTTAGGACACTTATTTCAAGTCCACCATTATACTCATGGCAAATATTCTAAACTATTTTAAATATAATTTCCAAATTAGATTTTAATTAAAATATTTTAAATTTAGGGGAGTTTTTATTTTGTCAAATTGGGAAGAATTTTTTTTTTTTTTTTTTTTTTCTTTTTTGCTCCGTGGCCTGTTAGGAGGAAGAATTTTCTTATTTGTAAAATAACCTAAGGGGAGAAAACATTTTTTTAAGACCTAACGTCTCCCCATAATTTAAATCACAGGGTAGTACTACATTGGAAAGCCTTTACAGGCAAAGTATTTATTTGGAGTGGGCTAAATATTCACATTTGCTCTGTTTCTTATGTATAATGTTGGCACATTAAATCAACACTAATAAAATTGGTGCAGTACAACATCACGGATATGTATATATAAACCACAATACCTATGTTATATAAATAAGCATAAACCTGGCAAAAATGACTAACTGGCAGTTTTAAAAAAGCCTTTGAAGAATTCAAACAGAATCCAGAACATTAAAAACAAACTGCTATGATAACAGAATGTGGGGTGGGGGATGACCTTGACCCCTAACCAATAATCATCTCGGACTCTCGGGGCTCATTTCAGCCAGCTCCTCCCTCTACTACCCTAGGGAAATGCCAGTAAGAGCTAAGCGCTTGCAATACCAAGTTGTCAGAAATCTTACCCTCCTCAGCTCTTCCAGGCACCCCTCAGCTATTCCAGGCACCCTATATTGTCACAACAACTCAACGTCAGCCAGGTTAGAACAACAAAGCTACCAGTATAATGAAGATAAAGGTGGTACTATACTTCACAGTGGAGTAAGAGGCTGGGATTTTAAATTTAAAAGTTGTAGAATTTAAGGAAATTACAGACAACTAGTAATATGAGGGAGCAAGCTATTTTTAAAAGAAGACTGCAGTTGCAATGCCGCTGGGGAACATGAGATGGGGGCTGAAATCCTTGATTTCCAGTAAACCAAGGTCCAAATTTCACCTTCTAATAGTAATAAAATGTAAAGGGAAAATGAAATTGGGATTTAAAATCCTTTAACAAAAATATACTATTTTTCGGCCGGGCGCGGTGGCTCACGCCTGTAATCCTAGCTCTCTGGAGGCCGAGGCGGGCGGATTGCTCAAGGTCAGGAGTTCGAAACCAGCCTGAGCAAGAGCAAGAGCAAGACCCGTCTCTACTATAAACAGAAAGAAATTAATTGGCCAACTAATATATATACAAAAAATTAGCTAGGCATGGTGCCGAATGCCTGTAGTCCCAGCTACTCAGGAGGCTGAGGCACTAGGATTGCTCGAGCCCAGGAGTTTGAGGTTGCTGTGAGCTAGGCTGACGCCACGGCACTCACTCTAGCCTGGGCAACAAAGCGAGACTCTGTCTCAACAAAAGAAAAAAAAAAGTACTATTTTTTAAACAAGAGTAGATAAGCAGAAGCACTTTTAAAATGGGCCGGGCATGGTGGCTCACACCTGTAATCATAGCACTCTGGGAGGCTGAGCGAGGTCAGGAGTTCGAGACCCCCCTGAGCAAGAGCAAGACCCTGTCTCTACTAAAAATAGAAAGAAATTAATTGGCCAACTAATACATATATATAAAAAAAAATTAGCAAGGCATGGTGGCACGTGCCTGTAGTCCCAGCTACTCGGGAGGCCAAGGCAGGAGGATTGCTCGAGCCAGGAGTTTGAGGTTGCTGTGAGCTGGGCTGATGCCACAGCACTCACTCTAGCCTGGACAACAAAGCGAGACTCTGTCTCAAAAAAACAAAAAAAACAAAAAACAATCTAATGATGAATGAAATAACTATTTTTACCTAATATTTGATGTATAATTGCTCTTTTAAAATAACTAATACAGGCTGAGTGCAGTGCCTCACGCCTGTAATTCTAATAGGAGGAGTGCTTAGGGCCAGGAGTTCAAGACCAGCCTGGGCAACAAAACAAGACCACATCTCTAAAAAAATTTAAAGAAAATAAAATTGGACCTCTATTAACCTGGCTTTGTTCCAGAAGAAATAGGAAGTTTCAAAATGTAATGGTATGAGCATGATATAATCAATTCTAACGAAATGCTAGTGGGCTTTTAAATTTCTCTGGGCAGCAAAACTTCTGTAATAATTTCTAGAAAGCTTTAATCTTTTATAGTATTAAAAACTTTAAAGCAACTATGAAGTTCTGATGTTAGCCTCATTTTGTTTCAAAAGTGCAGTGCTGCCTACTGTCAAGCTGGGATTCTGTGAAATATGCTGTGTCTCTTAGTGGCAACTCAAGTCATAGACCCTATTATAAGTGTTCTCATCTCATAGAAATAGTGCAAAAGTTAAGTACTGCCTGCAGACTCAAAAAAAGTCAGTTTTACGCAAAGATAAAGATAGCAAATCTTAAAAATTGCTGGTTGTATATATTTTTCTGATGGTTTCTGTTACCTCTTCCTTCAGTGCATGTTTCCTCTGTTCCAAGCAGATCTCTTTAGCTCTCATCATCTGTAAAGTCTCCTTAGAAACTGCATACTGGAGTTTTTCCATACGTTCAGCAGCTGCTGCCCATGATGCTTTACCAAATTTCTTCTGATCTGCTCGCATTCGATCGTACACAGCTATTAATAATTTAATGAAACATAAAACAACTTGACACTAAAGAATTGGAAATCTAGATTTCACTGACCAAAGATAAACACAAACATCCTCATGATAAATTACCTATGACATCCATAAAATATATTCAACAATATTTTAGATTCTGTCTTTAATTCATCCACAGAAATAATGTTTTGTAGATGAAACTGAGGTGTCAGGTTAATCTTTTAAAACTTTAAAAAATACTTTCATGTGTCCAGTGTTATTAACTTTCACAGCATCTATGAAAACTTTTAATTCCATTAATGCTTTTTCCTTGGTATGTTAGTTGAAATCAGAGCAATGATTATTCAAAATTACTTAAATCTATTTTCTATATTTTATCATTCTGTATCTTCCAAAAATACTGTAATAACCTGATCTAAGGGGAAATAAATCCTAAATGCTAGCATGGAGCTCAAGTAGGCAATTTGATTAATTCCAAATGAAATCTTTAAGTCAGAACATATTCAATGGCCGGGCACGGTGGCTCACGCCTGTAATCCTAGCTCTCTGGAGGCCGAGGCGGGCAGATTGCTCGAGGTCAGGAGTTCGAAACCAGCCTGAGCAAGAGCAAGAGCAAGACCCGTCTCTACTATAAACAGAAAGAAATTAATTGGCCAACTAATATATATACAAAAAATTAGCTAGGCATGGTGCCGAATGCCTGTAGTCCCAGCTACTTGGGAGGCTGAGGCAGGAGGATTGCTTGAGCCAGGAGTTTGAGGTTGCTGTGAGCTAGGCTGACAGCCATGGCACTCACTCTAGCCTGGGCAACAAAGCGAGACTCTGTCTCAAAAAAAAAAAAAAAAAAAAAAGAACATATTCAGTGATAATTTCTTTCATATGTTCAGAAGTAAATGATATGCTTGACTAAGCTGAGTAAAAAATAAAAAAGTAAATGATAAAGTAACTTTTGTACTGCTACTATGTCCTAACCATCTTTTGCAAATAAGTATAGTCCAGTGACCTTCACCTCAAAAGGTCATGAAATCTTTTTTATAATACATATACATACCTAAAATTAAACTGGGCAGGGTGCATAGGCTCACACCTATAATCCTAGCACTTTCGGAGGCTGAGACTGAAGTATCACTTGAGGCCAAGAGTTTCAGACCAGCCTCAGCATAAGCAAGACCCCAGCTCCACATAGAAAAACTAGCTGGGTGTTGTTGTGGCACATGCTGGTAGTCCCAGCAGCTCAGGAGGACTGCTCAAGGCCTGGGAGTTTGAGGTTGCAGTAAGCTATAATGAAGCCACTGCACTCTATACACAGGATAGCAAAGCAAGACCTTGTCTCAAAACAAACAAACAAAATTGGGCCAGGCCCACTGGCTCATGCCTGTAATCCCAGTGTTTGGGGAGGCCAAATTGGAAGGATTACATGAGGCCAGGAGTTCAACTGCAGTGTGGGCAATACAGGGAGACTTCATCTTTACAAAAAATTTAAAAATTAGCCAACACGTGTAGTGCTAGCCACTTAGGAGGCTGAGGCTGGAGGATTCCTTGAGCCCAGGCGTTTGAACCTGCAGTATACTCTAGCCTGGCTGATAGAGCAAGACTCCGTTATTTAATTAAAAAAAAAAAAATTAAAACCACAGTCACATTCCCTATACTCAGCTCTCCTCAAAACCTAGTGCCAATTTCCAAATGTAACTAACTTTTAATAACTTCTGATGGTTACCCCCATATAGGAATATTGGTATTTTGGGTTTACAGCCTTTAATATCATCTATTCTTATTATAGGATGAGGAATTTGCTTACTTAGAATCTCGACTCTTAATATAGTTACATCACTTCCTTTGGTTTCTCTGGGGTTTTTTGTTTGGGGTGAGATTTTGAAGCCTTTAAACGCTAACAACAGGAAGTAATGTTTTTAATTCATAATCTCCTTGAGCCTCAATTTTATGGTTTCTAACAAAATATGCTCATGTTTATTAGCACCAAATGATTCTGCCATTTTTAATTTCTGACCACCTTTTTTTTTTTTGAGACAGAGTCTCGCTTGTTGACCAGGCTAGACTGAGTGCAGTGGCGTCAGCCTAGCTCACAGCAACCTCAAACTCCTGGGCTCAAGCAATCCTTCTGCCTCAGCCTCCCGAGTAGCTGGGACTACAGGCATGCGCCACCATGCCCGGCTAATTTTCTATATATATTAGTTGGCCAATTAATTTCTATTTATAGTAGAGACGGGGTCTTGGTCTTGCTTAGGCTGGTTTCGAACTCCTGACCTCGAGCAATCCGCCCGCCTCAGCCTCCTAGAGTGCTAGGATTACAGGCGTGAGCCACCGCGCCCGGCTTTCTGACCACCTTTTAAAACTGTAATATTAATGCACCCACAGATTAATACAGTATTGTACTACAGTGGGGCAGAGAAACACAAGAGACTTGGGGGTAGATAGCTTTGAGTTAAAATCCCATTGCAACCCATAACTTGGTGTGTGACTTTCAGTGTAACTGTTCTTGGCCTTATTTCCCTTGCGTAAAAATAATAAAGAAATATAGGCCGGTGCGGTGGCTCACGCCTGTAATCCTAGCACTCTAGAAGGCAGAGGCGGGTTAATTGCTCAAGGTCAGGAGTTCGAAACCAGCCTGAGCAAGAACGAGACCCGTCTCTACTATAAATGGAAGGAAATTAATTGCCCAACTAATACATATAGAAAAAATTAGCCGGGCATGGTGGTGCGTGCCTGTAGTCCCAGCTACTTGGAGGCTGAGGCAGGAGGATCCCTTGAGCCCAGATTTGAGGTTGCTGTGATCTAGGCCGATGCCACAGCACTCACTCTAGCCTGGGCAACAAAGCGAGACTCTGTCTCAAAAAAATAAAAGAAAATAAAGAATAAAGAAATATAGGCTGGGCGTGGTGGCTCACGCCTGTAATCCTAGCTCTCTGGGAGGCAGAGGCGGGCGGATTGCTCGAGGTCAGGAGTTAGAAATCAGCCTGAGCAAGAGCGAGTCCCCGTCTCTACTATAAATAGAAAGAAAATAATTGCCAACTAATATATACAAAAATTAGCCGGCATGGTGGTGAATGCCTGTAGTCCCAGCTACTTGGAGGCTGAGGCAGAGGATTGCTTGAGCCAGGAGTTTGAGGTTGCTGTGAGCTAGACTGACGCCACGGCACTCACTCTAGCCTGGGCAATAAAGTGAGACTCTGTCTCAAAAAAAAAAAGAAATATAAAGTCTAACCAGAAGGTCTGCTGTGGTTTAAAAAAAAAAATGATATAATGCTATTCAAAAATGTCTCTCCCATTTCATATGGCAGTATTAATCCAATAGATGGTATATTTTGCTTCAATTTTTTCTCTTATGTACACATCACCATCACTAATATTTGATGTTATTTTCAAAGCACTTTTCCCATATTTTACTTCTATTTGTCCTGCAATCCTAGAGAATTGGCAAAGTATGCATTATCAATTATCAATATCTTCCATATAGACATGAGAAACTGAGAAGTTTTACCAACTTAAAGCAATGCTACGTGCCTATAATAGTGTCCCCAGTTGTTTAAATTCTGAGTCTACTACTGCTACCACTTTTACTCAAGCTTGTAATCACAATATATAGTCAAACAGTCTGCAAAATCACAATAACCTAAAGCCGTTTCTCTTGCTCCCCACTTTGGCCTGAATTCAGTCCCAAGTTCCCTACCACAATACCTACTTGATACTTTGTCTTCCAACATCTTTGGATGAAACCTATTCTAATATTTAACTGCTATTTACTTCACTTGGAATCACTGTCAAACAGCTCAAGAATATGAAGTAATCAAAATTATTTGTGAATGTGGAATGTTCGGAATACCCTGAGTATTTCTCGGGAGCCTGAGGCGGCAAGATTGCTCGAGCTCAGGAGTTTGAGACCAGCCTGAATAAGAGAGGGACCTCGTCTCTATTAAAAATAGAAAACATTACCCAGGTGTGCTGGGGCCTACTTGTAGTCCCGGCTACTCGGGAGTCTGAGGCAGGAGGATTGCTGAGCCCAGGAGTTTAAGGTTGCTGTGAGCTAGGCTGACACTCTAGCCCAGGCAACAGATCAAGACTCTTGTCTCCAAAAAAAATTTAACAAGTTAAATCTATTTTTAAAGGAAACAGGCCCACTCAAGGGTTTTGTTTGTTTTTTACAGTTAAGCAGTAATACATCAAAATTAGGTCAAAAGTGGCTCTGTATAAGAAAATAAAAGGGATATTTTACTCCTCTTCTAAAAGAATCGTTTTTTTAAACTTAAAGACAAGTGTATCTAAAAAGCAGACTCTAAATGCAGGTTACATACATAGCTACTGTCATAAAAAGTTTATAGTAGGAAAAGGCATCTTTAAAGTAGTTTAAAAGACTACTCTTAATATAATATAGTACTTCTTTAATTTAAATTTTTATTTTAAAAATTTTCATACAGCTCTAAGCTAAATACCCATGGCTGTGATTTCTGGGTCACATGGTAACTCTATCTTTTAAGAAACTGCAAAATAATTTCCCAGCATGACTATATAATTTTGTATTCCCTTGGCAATCCAGGAAGAGTTCTAATTACTCTGCATGCTCATAAGCACTTGGTATTGTTAGTAATTTTTATTTTAGGCATTCTCATAGGTGTGCAGTGATACCTTACTGTGGTTTTACTTTTCATTTCTATGACAAATGATCCCAAACTTTTTTTCCTATGCTTATTTACTATATCATCCTCTGATGAAGTGTCCAAATCCTTTTATCGTCTTTTAAATGGATTGCTTTCTTATTATTGATTTGAAAATTCTTTATCCATTCTGGATATGAGTCCTTTTGTCAAGATATGTGATTTGCAAATATTTCCTTAAAATCCTAATAGCGATCTCCAACTGCTGGGATTGAGTGATCTTTATATGCTTACTTTTCCTTATAACTACTCCAAACAAAATACTTAACCACTCATTTTCAAAAATACCCGAACAAGGATAATTTTACCGAGAAACTTACCTTTTTGAGCTTTAGCTGTTATTTCAAAATATTTGACAGTAAGATCTTGAATGGACAGTACAGCCATGTGAGCTTTCCGCTGCCAATCAGCATCTTCTTTTAGTAGACTCTCAATTCTTCGGGGTCCCAGATAATCATTCTCCATGGAAATCTTCAGAAAGGAAGAGGAAAATTAAGAAGTTCGTTTCTTTCTTTTATTCACTCCTCAAACAATTACTGAACATTTACACACCAAGCTTGCTTGCTGCCAAAAGGAAGAACGCTTGTTTTTCTCCACCCTAGAGAAAGAGCTAAGGCCTGGAGTGATGGCTCATGCCTGTAATCCTAGCACTCCGGGAGGCTGAGGCCGGCGGATTGCTCAAGGTCAGGAGTTCGAAACCAGCCTGAGGGAGACCCCGTCTCTACCAAAAATAGAAAGAAATTAACTGACCAACTAAAATATATATATAGAGAAAAAATTAGCCAGGCATGGTGGCGCATGCCTGTAGTCCCAGCTACTTGGAAGACTGAGGCAGGAGGATCGCTTGAGCCCAGGAGATTGAGGTTGCTGTGAGCTATGCTGATACCGCGGCACTCACTCTAGCCTGGGTAACAAAGTGAGACTCTGTCTCAAAAAAAAAAAAAAAATGAAAGGATAAAAAGCTATTAGTTTACAAAACAAGTGAATTAAAAATGATACTGTAAATATTTGACAAGGCCAGGCATGGTGGCTCATGCCTATAATCCCAGTACTTTGGGAAGCTGGAGGCAGGAGGATCACTTGAGGCCAAGAGTTCAAGACCAGCCCAGCCTGGGCAACATAGCGAGAACTCCATTTCTACAAAAAACAGAAAAATTATCCAGGCATGGTGGCACACACCTGTAGTCCCAGTTACTCAGGAGGCTGAGGCAGGAGATTCACTTGAGCTCAGAAGTTAGAGGATACAGTGAGCCATAAGCACACCACCACTGTACTCTAACTCTTTTTGAGAGAGAGATCCCAACTCAAACATAAATAAAATTTAAAAAAAAGAGAGAGAGAGAAAACTAGGTTTGCATTACTTATAAGAGTAACAACTAAAACCAAAGGAAAACGAAAGCTTAAAAATCAAATAATAGGCCGGGCGTGGTGGCTCACGCCTGTAATCCTAGCTCTCTGGCGAGCGGCGGATTGCGGGCGGATTGCTCGAGTCAGGAGTTCGACCAGCCTGAGCAAGAGCAGACCCCGTCTCTACTATAAATAGAAAGAAATTAATTGGCCAACTAACATATATATATATATAGAAAAAATTAGCCGGGCATGGTGGCGCATGCCTGTAGTCCCAGCTACTCGGGAGGCTGAGGCAGCAGGATTGCTTGAGTCCAGGAGTTTGAGGTTGGCGTGAGCTAGGCTGACACCATGGCTCTCACTCTAGCCTGGGCAACAAAGCGAGACTCTGTCTCAAAAAAAAAAGAAAAAAGAAAAAAAATCAAATAATGGACAGGAATAATGAGGTGAATGCTAAAACAAAATTCACAGAAGAGACAATATTAATATAAAAGTATTATTTCAAAACACTACACAGGTATATTAACAAAAAGTACAATTCAGTAAAAACAGCAATACACCATTTGTACATACACAATCCTCATTTACCATATACAGAGAGAGAGAAGGCTGCCAAAAATTAAATGAGAAGTTAATAACACCATTATTATGACAATTAAAAAAAACAGGCAAAGTTATAACCCATCCATTGCATACTTAAAACACTGATCAAGTATAATTGAGCCACTAAAAATCTGTAATGAAATTTTAAAGCAAAAATACAAGCTATATTCTCTAAGCAATGCAGTAAACAGAATTAAAAGATAGTCTAAAATAAAATTTTAATCGCCTGGAATTTAACACCCTTAAGCCAGAGGAAACTTAAAAGTAGGTTTTAGTTTTGAAGCAACAATACACTGTCATTTAAAAAAATAAAGAGTTTTCTCAAATACTAAACAATGGTAGAGCATTAGATTTCAAAGGGGAGAAGACCAAGGATTTAATTTGGCATGTGTTAAAGTTTAACTTTGCAACTGTAGCAGCCAAAGATACAAATTTGGGCACCACTGACACACAAAAGACATTTAAAGCCATAAGAGCAAATTAGGCCACCTAAGGAAGTCATGAGAAAAAGGCCCATAACTGAGCCCTGAGGAATTCTAACACCCTGAAGTTGGGTGAACAGAAGATCAAAGAAACCAAGCCAGAGATAGAGGAGAATCAAAGAGACAGCAAGATTGAAAGGAGGAGAAATTAACCTTGTTATACACACTGTTTAGAGGTGGAGCAGAATGATGAACAGCTTCCATGGATCTAACAACATGAAGGTTACTGAACTAAGCAATAGCAGTTCTAGAGTAACAGGCAAACTCCCTTTCCCTGTTAACTCCCATCACATCTTCAGATCTCAGCTTGATGGAGTCCTTCCCTGACTTATTCTTTATATAGTCTTCAGTGCAACACCTAGAACATTTCCTTCACAGTACATATCACAATCATACTTTATAGTATCCTGTGAACTTGAAATTATTGACTGTTTCCCCTTCTTAGAGAACAGGTTCCATGGGTTTTTTTTCTAGTAGCACACTGCCTGGCATAAACCAGGCAAATCTACAGTCTCTCCTGAATGATTGAGACGAACAAAAAAATTCAATTCCATACAATTTTGTAAGGAGATGAGAAAAATGTAGACATGTTATAAATATGCATTCTTCTGAGAACTGATTATGAGAGAACAGAGTGGAAAAGTGGTGGACCTAAAAGGGGATATTGAGCTTACCAGTGGGTCTTTTGCTTTTTTTTTTTTTTTTTTGAGACAGAGTCTCACTTTGTTGCCAGGCTAGAGTGAGTCCATGGCGTCAGCCTAGCTCAAGCAACCTCAAACTCCTGGGCTCAAGCGATCCTCCTGCCTCAGCCTCCAAGTAGCTGGGACTACAGGCATGCGCCACCATGCCGGCTAATTTTTTGTATATATTTTAGTTGCCAATTAATTCTTTCATTTATAGTAGAGACGGGGTCTTGCTCTTGCTCAGGCTGGTTTCGAACTCCTGACCTCGAGCAATCTGCCCGCCTCAGCCTCCCAGAGAGCTAGGATTACAGGCGTGAGCCACCACGCCCGGCCTGCTTTTGCTTTTTTGTCATAACACAATGGGAGATTGTACAGCAGGTTGAGTGTTGATAAATTGCATCTAGCAGTGTCCTACTAGATACTTGCAAGAACAAAACAGTGCCAAGCAAAGAAAATTAAGCCAGTGGTGGCAGTTTTGATATCTGATTCCTTATTCATTTAGACTGGATTATTTTTAAATCTCAGAAGATGGTTACTGTATCTCCAATCTCATGTGGCAGGAATCAAACTTAAAAACACACTGCACAGAGTTAACTTTTTTTCTCTTTTAGACTTTTCCTGAGCTAATATCTAGAAATGATTTCAATTACATATTTGAATAAAGAAACCTCTGTACTAGGTATTTCAGGGAATATAAATAAATATGATTAAGACACATCCTCCCTAGACACTTACAATCTAATGGTAAGAGGGAAGGAAAAATGTCTATGGTATAGACTTTTGACCAAATCATTTAACATTCAATTATCCATTTAAAATGATCATGTATTAATCACACATTTGCTCAGTGCCAGTATCATGCTAAGCACCAGGGACAGCAAGATATATAGCCTAATGGAGGACAACCACACTCAAAGAATTAGAGTATCAAAAAGAAAACATCAGGACACAGTGTGCCTAAGATACCAAGGGAACACCAACTATAGAGGTTGGGACGCAAAGTCTGGGCAGACTTTCTAAAAGGGAATAGTGAATAAATGGATTCTTGAACAAGTAGAATTTTAGCCAGGTATTTAAGATGGTAAAGTGTATCTCTGGGTAAAAATTACAAGAGTATTTTGAAGTCTTTGAGAAAAATAAAAGGTTATTTGTGGGGAAATAACATTTAGTTGTTTAGAGCAGGACAGACTTCACATAGCTTAAGTGGTATTTTGAAAAGAATGTATGAAATATATGGAGAGAGAGAGAGAGAGAATCACTGAAAAGGCATGCTGTAATCAAAGACCAATCTGAGCAAAAGTGTAGAGGCAGCCATGTTCTGTGCGTGCTAAGGGAGAGAGAGTAGACCAGCCTACCTTCTTTCAAGAGAAACAAACAAAAGTAATTAAGAGATAAGACTAAAAAAGTAGGTTGTGGTAACATGAGATGGTCTTTAAATGTCAGGCCAAGGAATGTGTACTTAATTTAACAGGAAACCACTGTGGGATTTTAAGCAGTAAGTGGCATATTTAGACTTCAACTTAGATTTAAGGATTCTAGAGAACTTGATTGCTATAACAAAATCAGTCTAATTAGTGCTTTCTTTTGTTGCAATTATCTCTGATTTTAAAAACAGCTTTAAAAGCATAAGATTAATATTTGCAAGTATGGGATAGAAATTTAAGGCCAGGCGCGGTGGCTCACGCCTGTAATCCTAGCTCTCTGGGAGGCCAAGGGAGGCGGATTGCTCAAGGTCAGGAGTTCGAAAACAGCCTGAGCAAGAGCCAGATCCTGCCTCTACTATAAATTGAAAGAAATTAATTGGCTAACTAATATATATAGAAAAAATTAGCCGGGCATGGTGGCGCATGGCAGTAGTCCCAGCTACTTGGGAGGCTGAGGCAGAAGGATTGCTTGAGCCCAGGAGTTTGAGGTTGCTGTGAGCTAGGGTGATGCCACGGCACTCACTCTAGCCTGGGCAATAAAGCGAGACTCTGTCTCAAAAAAAAAAAAAAAGAAAAGAAAAAGAAAAAGAAATTTAATACTATAAGTCAAAACTTTTAATGCCTTAAACGGGACACTGACAGAGGTTCTTTCCAATGACAGAACGATATCGGGTGCGTTCAGGATGGTATGGCCGTAGACATCAATGACATGATTAAACTTCATACACTTTATTTAACAATGCAAAGAAAATATAAATGGAAATTAGAGAACTTACAGCATTTTGAAAAGAAAGCCTAAATTGGTACCTTCATATATTCAAATATACAGAAAATGAAATGCTTGGTATGCTTTTAAGTTGTTTTTAACTGACTTTTATTTTGAGACAGAGTCTCGCTTGTTGCCCAGGCTAGAGTGAGTGCCATGGCGTCAG